ACCCATGTATTGGGATCTTCATTCATACCGTTGAATGATGCGATTCTGTTATTATTCTTATTGAATGTAGCCAAATTCAACCACTTACACATCATTTCATTCAATTCGTCCTTATTGATCTTTATTGAATCATCTGGATTGTGGATTCCGTGATTCGTAGTAGATGAATGTTGGTGAATATTTTCTGCTTCCTGTATTTGTACAGATTCTTCTGAATCGCCTTGGTAGTTGATTCTCACGAAAGTTCGGTCCGACTGCGCCATTTGTAATAAATCTGAATAGATTTTATAATAAATGTATTTTATTTTATCTTATGACAATATTGAATGACATAAATTATCAATAACAATCCCTAACTACCACATTCAATTATTCATTATATACAGCTTGGTCCAATATTCCTACAATTGTGTAATGATTTACTTATTTTGTAATATTATTTTGATATTTGAAAAGTTGTAGATAACATATAGTATTTTACTGTTTTTTTTTCTCTTGGAGCACATGAAAGGAAATTCCTATGATGTTCGAAGATGATTAAGTCACTCGCCTCCGTTATGTGCTCATTGAATAATACCGTGTGCCCAAGATAAGAATGAACAGCATGGGTATCTCGGTTATCATAACGGTTACACAGAAGGTCAAATGAGCAAAAAGTTGCGCATTTGAAGAGTCACTAAATAGATGTTGAGAAATCCTGAGAATGTTCTCTACTTCCGGAGACATTCGAAAAAAAAACCGGAATTTGTGTATTTGGTTTTTATTTTTGAAGATAGAAGAAATTTCAAAAACCAAAGGCACCTTAACGAAACATCACAAAACCTCCATACAATGTTTCGTTCAGAAGAAACCATCAACTTTGTTTTTTTTATATCACACTAGAGAAAGGCACCCTGAATGACATAGCGTTTTTCATTGCTAATGCAACGACGTACGAAGCAATGTTTTCCTATGTTTTTATTCAGAAAAAATGCGACCTCACTTTTCTATAGATACTTCCACGGGAAATATTCCTCAGAAATCTCTGCTATCATTCCATCACTAGCAATACCAGTCAGACCAACTCGACAAGCCCAGTTAACACATCATTTCGTTGTTAACCTTGAAATATGTTGAACAACACTTGACCAAAACTCGTTCGTCTATAGGACGGCGAAGTTTTGGAATTCTTTGCCAATGAAAGTATTCCCAAGAACTTATAACCTCCCAAAGTTCAAAAAAATTTCGACACCTTCCTGCTCCTCTACCTTATAGAAATGTCCTTTCTTGCGCTCCAAGAGATAACAAATATTTACATGAAAAACGAAGTTGATGTTGGTTTCCCAAGGACTTATAACCTCCAAAAGTGCAAAAATATCCCAACATCCTCTCTACCTTATGGGAATTACCTTCAAGAAAATAATTTTGCTCATAAAAAGAGTAGACTGAGATCGATTTTTATAATTTTTGGCATGGCATGTTCTGTGACTGTAATTCACGTTTTGAGATGTTTTTGATCATCATCAGTGACCTGCAAGTGTTTCAAACAACCGTGTTGCCGTTCAAATTTGGTGATAATTTTTCAGAGGTCGGACTGGAAACTCCCAGTTTTTTTTTCCAGAAAGATAGTCCCTTCAGAAATATTTTTTGAATCGTGTCAAGTTTTGATAAGCCTGGAGGTTCATTTGAAAATAAATAATTTCGCATTCTCTATGTGATGAGAGTATCAACTCTTTTTCAGTTTATTCAACAAAAAACAACTACTTTCCTGGCTATATGCCACGACGAACATTGAATTATATCTATTGAACACAACGATAAGAGTATGAAAATAAAATATAAAATCTTCTGAAATTGAGAATTTGCATTCTCCTTCAGACAAAAATATGTATATGCACACATCATTCAGAATATTCAACAGAAAACAACTACTTTCCTGGCTATTTGCCACGTCGAACATTTAATTATATCTGATGAATATCCAGAAGGAGAACATGAAAAATAAAAAATAAAATTCTCCGAAATCGAGAATTGACATTCTTTCTCAAATCGGATGAATAATATGATGTATAATGATATAAAAAATATAACTCACCAATATATTCAGCAAAAATTGGAATGTATAGGAGAAGTATACTGGCATGAACTTTGATCTTGATGAGCTTGAAAACTTCCAAAAATAATCATTCATATCAGTGATATGTGAAGTATTATCTCTCACACACAGGTTATATGACTTCATTGCAATGAACTCATTTCGGATTTCTGAACCCTTATCAGTAACCATGATGTCCACTTATTCTTACAGCCATTCTTCATAATATACACAATTTTCATATCTCTATAATACAACTAAAACCGAGTAAAACTATAACAAAATGACATCTGAGAAAATTTGTTGACATTCTATTCCTGTCGAGAACTAATTTTTGTATTCGGCTGATGATGGGCTTATATAACCCCGAAACATGTACTTCTATGTGATCGATCTCTGATCGTCAAATAAATGTTGTGGAGATGACTTTGGGTTTCTTCATCTATGAAATATACCAGTCCACTTTGACCATGGACTTCTTCCAAGGATTGAAAATATGAATACTATTTCAATATACGTGTAGAGTTAGGACAAATCAGATGATTTGCCCCAAAATGTCATTGCGTTTAAAGAATTTTCCTATCAGAGAGCCTAAAAGACACCAGCTTGTCAGTGACAATTTCTATTGAAAAAGGTTTGGAGAAGAGAAATAAAGGTATGTAGAAAAAATATCAAATTTTTAATTATCTTTGGACATTTCGGGAACGAATCTGCTCCCGTTTTCAACATAAAAAATGGATTCTTCGTATTGCAAATTCGTATTTGTCCTGACAAATCGAAACTAGCTGAACATATCCTTACTGGAGATGGACAACATAATATGGCAGAGTGGAATAATATTAAATCATTGGAAAGGAAGAAACAACCAGAAGAAAAAAATCAAGGAATCTGCTTGCATTCTTCCGAACGGAGACAATAGCATTGCTTCTTGTTCAGTTGATATGGATAGAACATGGTATTCACTACTGAAATCTGAGAATGAAAATGGTTAATTCAAGATTAATTAAAGAAAACATCCTGTAACTCATTTGATTGTCAACGTCACCAATTGTCACTGAGAACTGAAAAGTGTCAGGACGAATACGAATTTGCAATACAAAGAATCAATTTTTTATGTTGATATCGGGAGCAGATTCGTTCCCGAAACGTCCGAAGATGAGTAAAAATCTGATATTTTTTCTCTATACCTTTGTCTTTTCTCCTAACCTTCTTCAAACGCAGTGATATTTTGGGACAAATCATCTGATTTGTCCTAACTTCTCGTATATTGAAACATATTTTGATTTTATAGAGACGAGGAGAGAAAATCCCAAAAAATCTGGAATAATGAATCTACTAATTTAGGCTCCCAAGGATGTTTTCCCTTCTTTCAGGACCCAGAGGGCGAATGCGCATGCGTCAATAATGTATCAGTGATTTATTGTGACCACTATATTTAATGTAAAAATGATCAGCGTGTGACTATAGTTCTGGCTCCACCATCATCAGACACAATTAAAAAAGTACCTCTTTTATATGTAGAGATTGTTTCAACAAATTTAAGAATTATCCGGTCGTTTACAAAAATTAATCCATTCTCGGACTAATCAACATTTGAAACGGCTAAAAAGCCAAAAGAATTTGACTATGAGTAAGTTCAGCATCAGGTGAAGTTAAAACATAGTATTTTATGACAATCTACTCAAAGGAGCTTCATCTATCTGCAGTCAAGCCTTTAGTAAAATTGTTTTGGCTTTTTAGCCGTTTCAAATGTTAATTACTGCGAAGCAGCATTGATTTTTGTTAGGAACCGGTTAATTTTAAAATTTGGTAATATTTTGTCTACAAAAGCGGTACTTTTTTCTTTATGTCTGAAGATGGCCGTATAGCCGAAACTATAGTTACAGGATTATTTTTATATTAAATATTGTGATCGACCGACTTCGAGTTATTTTTTCTCCTTTCAATTTATTAGTCCTTGCACGCCCGTGTCTCATTTCTTGAACAAATAAGTACAACAATAACAAATGAAATTTATTGCAGAAAATTTCTCACACAGAGCTACTAACTAAAGTAGGTACTACCATTTCTTTTCAAAATCACAATCATAGTCCCAATATGAGGTGTTTACAGTCTACTGATGTTATTTTCAATTATTTCACTACACCCAAATGTTTGTCAAAATTTCTACAAAAGAGGAATAATGACTATGATTGTATTTATTGCAATGAATTATTTTTGGTCTGGAGGATTATGAGTTCATGATAGTTTCCACTTATATTTACTGAAATCACCTTGTTTGAACTACATGGTGAAGTTTCTTCAAAATATTTTAATATTAATTGGTTAATTTCGTCACTTAACTAGTAAATCCTTTGGATTTCCAATGGGGATTCAGGCAAAATAATGGAATGTGATTTTTTCAAAACTTCAGAAGTAGATTTAACTCCACAATGGATTAATTGATCCCTGGAAGAATATTCAATGATGATCACATATAATATGTACAGATTTTGGCAACTAAGTTACCATTTTGGGTAGACTTGAAAAATAATCAAAACTTTTCAAATGCCAAAAAGTTTGCTAATTAAACTTGTTACTTTGGTATCTACCGAAGATGACAACCTAGTTTCCAAAATACGAATTAGAAAATTATTGACTTTTGAGATCTACTTTTAGGGTACTTCATCCCTGGAAAACAAAACATTATCATCTAGTTGAAAACTAGGAGAAAGATGTGCAACAACTGTAAACACCCCTTGTAACCCATAAGTTTACCCCACATATACAACGAGTTGTACAATAATTACTTTAAACCCTAATTATTATTTACAGATATAGTATATATGACTCTCATTTGTTATAATAAATAAAAATTATAATTTAATTAATTTCATTTTCAGTCGTTTGAAATGATCTAGTGGTGATTGGGGAGGAAGGAAGTGCTTCATAATGGTGATGCTTCTCTAAAGTAGGGGTTCACCCCCTTTATAGGTAACGGGTGGGCTTCAGTATTGTAAACCCACTCGTCAAAGGAGAGAAGACTGTCGTCTGAGTAGAGTAGGTACAAATACTGCAAAAAGAAAACCAGTTTGAATTTATGCAGCAACAAACACCCTCACATACAATGTTATCTTGCTACCCCCCTATTTCACCTTTTATCTTGTTTCATCTCCTTTTATCTCTAGCTATATCTCACTATATGCATCTTGCAATTATTCTATATCGTTCTTCCTTGGTTTCTTTTTTTTTCTCTCTCTTCTCTTTCTCACTCTAATTTGCCTATATGATCCCTTTCTAACTCTTATTTGTCATTTCAGTCTCTCACTTTTATTTGTCTTTTCTTTTATCTCAATCCCTTATTTATCTTTTCAATCGCTCTCTCTTATTTATCTTTCCAATCTCGCTCATCTCAATCTAACCCGCTCTGAACCTCATTCTCGCATTTGTCTTTTTAATCTTACTATCACATCTGTGTATGCGTCTTTTCAATATCAGTCTCTTATCAATCTCACTTTCTAATCAATCTCAATCCCTTCTCAATCGCACACCCTCTTCAATCCCACTCCATTTAAAATTACTCTCATTTATATCTCATCATTTCTTCGATCGTTCTCTCTTGTCAATAACATTATCTTCTTGAACTCTTCAATCTCTCCCCCTTTTCAATTTAATTATCTTTCCAATCTCACTATCTTTCCAATTTCACTAATTCTTCAGTTTCACTTTCTTTTCAATCTCGCTCTCCTTTCAATCTCGCTCTCCTTCAATTCTCACTGTATCTCACGGCCGTTTGAAGAACTTTCTGTTTGGGGAACCGATTTTACACGAACTTCTACCGGTATACAGGGTATGTCACTATGAGCGTACACTATCTCTATATCGAGAATCAGTCGGGAAAAATTTATGAAAATATGCGTGCTTATATTTTAGAATACGCTCTCTTCTGTAAGGTTTTTATTCTGTGGCCCTTACTTTGACGCTCTGTTCAGGACAGGAGACTACTCTGGTATTTGACAGGGGGGGGGGATTCTCGAGCACCAGATTGTTTTTGAGGTAGTTTACTCTGCCTGCTCTGCACAAAATATTTTTTGTACAGCGACCCAAAGTAGTAACAGTGGAGAAAGGTACAGGAGGTATACCATCTCGGTACCTACAGTATAAACCAGGGGTCAATGTTATTGAATCGACCTGGAATCAATAAGTTTCCAAGGGAGTGTAGGCTTCAATTACAAACCCTGGGTTTAGCCTGGAATACTGGTTGCTAGTTTTAGTCGGTACAATTACAGGAATCAAAGCAAATATCTTTCGAGACTCTCTGGTATTTTGAGGTTAGGCCGGGAAAATTATTTATTCTAACTCTTTCATCATTTCTACCTGGAGAATCGGAAACACAGTTCCAAACGAATCAAACAGATTCAATTCCTATTTATCTTTCCTTTTCCTTCGATTTTCTAATTTCCTAATATCGGAATTTTAGTGAGGTTTTTTCCATTCATGTTAGTATTTCAAGAAAAATAGATCACCGCCTGACGGGACACAAAGCACAGAGACCCGGATTTACAGGACAGGATTTCTCGAGGAAAAGAAGAAGAAGAATTGTTAACTGGCGTGTCAGTCGTCAGTCAATAATAATAATCTGCAATTTTGCCAAATGAAAATATTGAAAATCAGTAAATAAATTATTGGAACTATTCGGAACTAAAAACAATGACAACAGAGAAAGAAATCTGAAATATGTGAGCACAAAATCCGTTTATTCGCAAGTTCAAAGTTCTGGATTCTTTACACAGGTCGGGTGAGTATTGGTATGCAAAACAACAGGTATGAAATGAATCTATGAACAGGATGAATTACAATGGTGAAAAAAATACAAACTTACATGTGTAACACGAAATCGCTCTACAATAATACTTTACACTGGTTTTGAATGGAATCTGAGAGCACTCAGAGATCAGCAAGAGAATCAAGAGCTTGAAGAGCAGGTAGTGCAGACTTGTGGAGAAAAGAGAGAGACCCGAATCCTCAGCTGTCTTCAGTATTTATGCACTGCTTTAGCCTTGACACAAGGACAAGTAAATCTGGAATCTCATTGGTCAAAACTCCCACCTTGTCATGGCCCATGGCCATGGCCACTGAATCTGTCCTTGGAAAGCACATGTGCACCTCCCACACAAAACGCGGAAAAAATAATATTCAACCCTAAATGGGCACAGAAACAGAATCTACTACCTTTGCTTATGCTACTGAATGAATTTGGCTGGAAAATATTCAATAACAACAAAGTTATGAGAAGTCAAATATCAAGTATTTCAACAGATAGATAATTCATCTAATTTTCATATCATAAGCAAAGGGTTGAAAAATATTGAAGCCTTTAGGGTTGTAATAATGTTCATCAGAGTTTACTATCAGGAAAAACTTTGGAAAGTCAGGAATCAATGCATTACTTAGCTCTCTCAGGTTTTCAGGTTTTGAGCTTTTGAACAAGTGAAATTCAAGTAGAATCAGTCTCAGAATACTTAGATATTAATCAAAACCAGTCTAGTATTGACACTTCATTACACTTCATTTAAAAAATTTTCAGCAATGAAGTGTTGCCGTTTCTATCAAAAAGTAGCAACAACTTCGTTATTTCAAATAGAAAAAACCTGTATTTTATTGCATTTTTTATTTCTCCCTGAAGAGCTGATTTCATCGATACATCACACTTGTGGTCTATCGGAAATCATCACAGAGATATAGGGTGTTCTAAATCGAGATTTTTCAACTTGGAGGGTGATCAGAATTCTAAATCTACAACCACCCTGTACCTGTTCCGATTAAATATCAGTAAATAGTGAATTGAAAGTTGAGATAGGGATATGTGAGCCGTTTTGACCGATAATGAATAGTTTCAATACAAAAATAACTAAAGTTGAAAAATCTCGATTTTGAACACCTTATATCTCTGTAATTATTTTCGATAGACCCCAAGTGTGATGTATCAATGAAATCAGCTCTTCAGGTAGAAATAAAAATACAATAAAATACAGGTTTTTCTATTTGAAATAACAAAGTTGTTGCTACTTTTTGATAGAAGCGGCAACACTTCATTGCTGAAAATATTTTAAATGAAGAAAGCGTATTCTGAAATATAAGCATGCACAAGATAGTGTAAGCTCGTCGTGACATTCCCTGTATACGACTACATCGTTGAAGAATATTTGGAGAATTTTCTTTGTCATCCTTCAAAAGCATATTACTTATCACCAGAGGAGTTTCTCGAATTATGGGGATTTTTCAGGTTATTAGTGGAGACAACTCCGAATTTTCTAGAACAAAAAGCGCCCTAGTTACTTGTCTATATTTTTCTCTGCATACCTTAAGTGTCTCGGCTAGGAAGAAACTTTGCTGCACGTCGTCCTGTACCGGCTCCTCGGCATACACGTTCTTGATACCCGTGTATCCGCCAGACACCTTCGAAAAATCAATCAATCAACCAATCGTTTATTGGTTTATACAAAAAATGTACCCTACTCCAAAAAACTTGATACAGAACTCGAAGAAGTAAAAGGCCAATTCAGTGCATGCCCCTTAGCTTACACATGTGAGCATGCGCATATGAGGCGCGACAGAGCCAGGGGAGGCTTTAGTAAGATTTAATTAGAGTCCCTGTATGTATTTGACACTTTTACTGTTATAAGAGTACGGACACTATGACAAGCAGTGACAGAAGGCATAACCCTAAAAAATTTGAAATGACATGAACAATTTGGCTGGCACTGACAGTTCATGAACGTACATGACATTAAATTATTTAAAAATTCAGGTTTTCAAAAATTAAAATGTCTAATTGTGTAGTGGAGAATTGCAAAAATGGAAGCGAGTCCTTTCATTTATTCCATTTCCCCCATTCTAACCAACAACAGTTACAGAAATAGAAAGAAAATATGAAGCGGCCACTATGGAAATTGAATTCAGGTAGCAAGATTTGCGAAGTAAGTACTCAATATTTGAATTTTTCGATTGAATATGATGCATATTCGAAGGAATAATATCATTTATAATTTCAATTTTAACATTATAGGTGCACTTCAAATGTGAAGATTTCATAGTGGAACATACCATCAAATTGAAAGAAAATGCGGAGCCTTCATTCCATCATCAGAAGGATTATCAAAGACATTCCTTATCGAATTCAGGACAATTTTTACGAGGAAAAATTCAAGTAGAATACCAAGATGAAATTAAATGTATTTTGGAGAACCGTGAAAAATATGTACTGATGTTAAGATATATTGTGGTAAAGGAAGTTCTAAGTTCGGTCAATTTTAATAAGAGTATGCCGAAGAATGATCCATAAACTCCTCTTTTTTTGACGGATCACTCCGTCATACGTTCAATAAATATGTGTTTGGATTTTATTTGTCATATGATGCAATATGGGGTATTATGCCTCATATTTTTTCAACTGCGGCATATTACCCTTACCTGTTATTAGAAGTGCCTACAATGGAAAGCGTTGAGTCAGAATTGGAATATGATGAATCGGAATATTGAGCACAATGCCGCGTGGATGATAAAAAAGGTCCAAAATGTTATTGGTCGCAATTTGTGAATTGTGACCATGGGTTCACGAGATATGTACACCATCGAATATGATTCATTGTGCAGATTGTGTTCCAGATCAAGTACCAAGTACCTCTACAGCTCTGAGACATAAAATTTGATAATTTATACTATTATGTTGTAAAAGCTAGTTTTTTTTTTCAATTTCATAAAATAGTTTATTTCTTACGAGAATAGCATGTTACCATATTACCCAACCTGTGATGCCATATTACCCTTGGTATGGGGTAATATGATATAACTGTGTGGAAAAATGGCAACGAGCGACTCTGGACACAAAAATATATTGTGTAAGCTCTAACGTGCAGCCATCGTCTTTCAGCTAGGCGCGATGGTTATTAGATTGTGAGCATTTAAATTTTATGTTGCCATATTACCCCAATGAAGTGTCTTAGTATTTTTTTTTTATCGCTTGGAGCGCACGAAAGGGAATCCCTATAATGTTATGAGAACAAATATAAGTTTGTTAATTGGTTGAATTGTTCTTCCCATTCATTTACATTCTGCCCATCAGAACTGGCTACTAAATCCTGACTCTATCTATTGAAAAACTAGTGCATCCTAAAATCAAATAAATTGAAGTACATACAGGGTGTTTCAAAATTCAGTATCGATTTTAGGGGCGTATTTTTCAGGTCAAAATAAGACGTTTTTGTCCATAAACATGTGTCCGCAAACGCTTCGTTACCGATCTACAGAGCGTTAAAGTTAAACAAATACACGATGAGACATCCACCAACTTTCAAATAATGTCAAATGCTTCAAAACAAACCTAAACGTCAAAATGAAAATAGCAGTCAAAGCCCACTAATTCGCTTTTTCATTGTTCCGTTGAAAATTTTAATTAAATGTAGCGAATCACAAAAATTGATTTTACTTTTTTCTCGATAACGATCGCAGATGCGTGAAAATTACAAGAGACAAAAAAATTTATAAACAAAACAAAGAATTCATTTCGTATCTCAGAATTCACCAGCGGCGCACCACAAAAAAGTTTATGGGGTAAAAAAGGGCTTGACCCCTGAAAAAAATATCTCCCTGTAGATTCTCACAATCACTCGGCATGCTGGATGATGTAAGCCCTAGAACGTAACCTACATTCCAAATTTGATCTTAATATCTCAAAAATTGAAAGAGCTATGAAGAAAAAAATAAAAAAATCTTGAAACTTTAACGCTCTGTAGATCGGTAACGAAGCGTTTGCGGACACATGTTTATGGACAAAAACGTCTTATTTTGACCTGAAAAATACGCCCCTAAAATCTTGATACTGAATTTTGAAACACCCTGTATACCCTTCGTTAAGTATATCGAAAAATACTTTCAACAAATTGATTTACAAACTATGACCCCTTTTCGCCAGTGAGATGAGACGCCACTTCTTTATGAAAATAAAGACAGAGAAAGATATATGGATGTACCCTTCACCGCGGCAGTAGAGGATAGAAGATCCGAAGTGCATGGAAAAGCATATCCATGTCTTTGTTCAAAAGTCATTTTGAGAATTTGGGGTTATGCCTTCCGTCACTGCTTGTCATAGTGTCCGTACTCTTATTACAACAAAACTGACAAATATATACAGGGAATTATACATACAGGGACTCTAGATTTAATTAGCAGATTTCTGTCGCTTTTGAAATAGCACTGTTCAAAACATCAACCGAGTAATGACTCAATAACATGAATAGATCAAGTATGTAGATATAAAATGTATTTTCATGAATAATACCATAATATATGAGTAGATCTGAAATCCACAAATTTTCATTTCTCAATGGGGAAGTTTCCAATATTGAGGTTTTAATCTCACTGCCTGCGAATAAATAAATAAAAAAGGAACTTCGCTCCTTCACCATTCCTATGACGAACTTTATGGAAAGCCACATTCACACAGAGCTGAAATATAATACCCTGTGTCAGTATGATGTTGCAGACATCATCAATATTGAAAAGGAATATTCTCAGATATATTCATGAACACAAAAAAATTGATATATATGTAAAGAAATACATTGAGAATTCGCATTCACCATGTGATGAAAATATTAATTCTTTCTTGGTTTATTCAAGACAAAAAACAACTACTTTCCTGGCTATATGCCACGACGAATATTGAATTACATCTATTGAACACACAGGATGAAAATTTGAAAACAAAATCTTCTGAAGAAGAGAATTTGCATTCTCCTTCATATAAAGATATGCATATAATATCATTCTGAATATTCAACAGAAAACAACTACTTTCCTGGCTATTTTCCACGTCGAACATTCAATCATGAAAAATCGAAATCCTCCTAAATTGAGAATTGACATTATCTCCCAAATCGAATAGAATATGATGTATTATGATATAAAAATATAACTTACGTCCTGTATGATGAATATCAATTTATCATACATCCAAAAATCATCAATGTCTATATTTCCAGAAATTGTTCTTTGAATACATTATAACTATATTATAACAGCAATAGCTATTTTAATCCTACTTCGTCGAGTATTATGAATAATAACCTCTTATGTGCAATAGTATACATAATTTTTTCTGCAACCGACACAAAAGTCGTCCATTTTGATACCAAAATTAGCTCTTAAATTGACGTTTCTATTACTGACACAAAAATAGGTATGTTGCTAGGCAACATATTTAGTTCCTAGGAGCTAAAGTTGAATTTTAGTTCCTAGGAGCTAAAGTTGAACTTTAGCTCCTAGGAACTAAAAAGGATGAACTGGACGTCATCAAGAATAAACAACATTGTGACGGTTGAGACGCATACCTGATTTGTTTCCGATTTCAGCAGATTTGACATTTCATACCCATGCTGGAGATATAAATACACCTTATTATAGTTCAGTATTGGAATTATAAACATCTCAGCTAAGTATTTTTGTTTGATCAGGGAAGCCTTCAAGATTCAAATACTTGCTTGATCTGTATTTCATTCGTTATTCTCGGGATGGATAACTTGTTTTTGAATAATCACGGCAAGCAATAGTTTTTTGTCTCAAACAACGATATTGTTTTTGTTTATCTTCATTTGATTATCAAGTCAAACACAGTGTAGTATGGAGAGGAATAAATAATCACTATTATCATTGTTGATATGCTCACTAACTTAACATTTTCCATGTCTGCTGGCACTGGCGCGGTATTTGCCATTAGAGCATCTGATTGTCCTTACACAAATATGTCACTCTGTGGTTGTATTTATATTGAAACTACAATTCGAACATCCTTGAAAACCTAACCTGCTGTTAATGCAGGTAGAATATTCTTACCACATGGATTATTTGTCAATATTTGTTGCATTGCATACATATGGCACGGCATTGGTGGTTACTTCACATATTTATTTGAGTTAATTGTTTCGGTTGCAGAAAAAATAGCATGTTCCATTCGGATCAAAAGTGACTTTGTTCGACTCGCAAATTTTGCTTTTGCTCGGCTTCGCTAAACGCTCCGCCTCGCAAATGCAAAATTCGCTTGTCAAATAAAGTGTCACTTTTGATCCTAATAAAACAATCTACTATTTCACTTTCGTTACATCATAAAACGGTATTCATAACTTGTCAGTCATTATTTTGCAAATGAATTCGTCCCTTCATAAAACGGATGTATTTTCTAGGAAAGTTGCAGGTTATACCTTGCAACAGCGGATAATACTTTGAGTCCGTCCACACCACATAAAATACTTATGTTATGTATGTTTATGTTTACCAGTTTAACTTGTGTCCATTTTTGATCTCAAGTTATTCGTTAGCCTATGTCTACAGTTTATAGTATTGTTTTGTTAGTTAGGTGATCATCGCTATTTTTCAGACACAAAGTTGTCTTCTTCTTTTTTATTTTAAATTCGTTTTTTATTATTTAGCTAATTGCTAGCTATATTCTTTATCATCAGCTAAATTCAGACCAGTTTTAGAATGAACGTCACAGTTTGCCGCTCTGAAATCGCTTTATTTAGAAAAAAAAAAATTGCATGAAACTGAGGAGTTCCGAACTCATTTTAGGAAAATTCATCTGAGAGAAACTTCCCCATAACAGAAGATTTACATTTTCAGATCCTTAGAGTAGATGTCGATTAGGTATAGCCAGGAAGTAGTTATTTGTTGACTACTTGAGATCTGAGAAAGAATACACCTCCAAATCAGATAATCGATTTTAGTTTTTATTTATTCATTAGATGTGAGGCCTTTGCAATGAATATTCAAATCAAAAAACTACTCCCTAATCCAATAAGTTGATATAATGATTGGATTAATTTCCATAAATGACTAATTAGTTTTAGTTTTGTGTCACAGGTAAACCAAAACAACATAGTAAAAAAAATCAACAATCATTCAAAAATACTTATTCCTTTCAATGATGAAATGGAACTCAGAAGTCAGATTTTTTGAATCAGTATGGAAAAAAGTTCACTATAACATTATATGTTCGAAAACGATTCCTTTCTGAGATACAGTGTGTTCAAGTCAGACAAATTGGCAGTAACCGATTCCTACAGAGTTGGCAGAAGAAATTGTCGGAAATCAAAATTTTTATAATAAATAACAGATATTTTGTTAAACAATCAATATTAGGCACTCAGTTTATACTGGCATGAAATTATACTAGGAAATATAATCATGCATAATTGTTAATTATCAATTATGAAACGTTTCAAAGAAAATATAAAGTATATTATCATAATGCATAAATATGAGATTTACGTGAAAGATGAATAAATGGTTTTGTTACCGACAATGTGCGAATGATCACAGTTGTAATAAGCACACTAGTGGTATCGGATTTAAGAGATTTCTCAGACATATATTGGCCCTCTAGTTCTTTGAGTTCTGTAGATAATAAGGCACCACCAATAAATAGACAAATCTTCCTAGGAAATCATAAGAATTTTAATTCTGTATTTAGATCAGCTATAACACTTTGTGCTCGAAATACACACAAGATTTTATCTACAAACGCAACTTTTACGAAAAAAAGAAAGAAAAACAACAATTCACTAATAAAACTATCCAGCTCGGGACTGAACACTAACCAGCCACTTGTGAGGTGCTCTTCAGGTGCTTAGGCCTAGGTCGTATGACTACTTGAATGATAATCTCAAATTGAACTCGTATTGAATCAAGAAATGAAGATACTGCTCCGCTGATTACAACAAAAGAATGGAACTCTTTTGTAATTGAAATTCAGCTTGAAGACTTCAAAGTGTTCGACTTTTTCCCAAAATAAGCCAGTACCACATTTTTTGAATATTTATTTACCTTCTTGAAGTGGCACCAATTTAGTTATCACTTTTTTCAATCAGCTATACAATAATAAGATTCAGTCAATATCAAGTTAACATTGCGTCAGTTAGTTTGGTCCAAATCCTAATTTCATTCATTTATAATCAATATGAAAATAATCACAAATAATAGACCAAATGGTTTGATTTATGGACCTCTATCCTATCCAAGTTCTGTTTTATTTGAAATTAAGCGTGAAGTCAATGTTATTCTAACTAATAACTAAAGAGTGGCTCAAAGTTGAGTATTTGAGATTGATTAGTAAGAGTATGCAAGCTCAGATATTTTACTAATGTGATGTATATGCATGGATGTGTAATAAGTTAGCAGGAAGCTGGACTGACCTATAGAAGGTAAACTGATTATGGTATATTGTATGATCATGGGTACTTTTCTATAAGATTTATTTAGAACCTAATTTAAGACAGTTTAATAAATCGATAATCAAGATAGGTTAATTAGTAATCAGAGACCACCTCGTTTACAGCAACTTCAGATTTGCTGCTGACAACAGTACGAAATTGCTTACAAACAATTTCTGGATTGGTGCGAAGCAAAAAGTATTTCCGAAAATTTTAGCAACATTATTTCTGACATATTCCTTCATCACTTTGGCCTCATTATTCAATGATAACAAATTACCTATGCCTCATCATCGCACTTCCATGTTTCAGAGATCATTTGTATTCAATTCGATTCATCTTTATAACCTTTTACCTGAAGAGTTTAAACTTCTAAATATAAATAAATTCAAATACAAATAGTTTCTTTTTACTAATCAATGAACACATATTCACCCACGCCCCTGGAGGAACAGCCCAGCTTAATTAAGAAGTATTTCTGCAATTCAGATTGATTTTTTTTGTTTTGTTTCACGATTTCTCATTGTATTGTAACATGTGTATATGTATATTAAGTATATCCTGTGACCTAATTTGGTTGAGTATGAGTAGCTATCAGCTAGACTTCGCCAAAATTAGTGTTGCACACTAAGAATTTGTATCCACTTCGTTAATAAAGCCGATTTATTATTATTATTATTATTATTATTATAAAGACCATGTTATGGTTAGAGAAGAATGAAGATATTAGCAAACGTTACTTTGTTTCCTTGAAGCAAAAAGGAAATGGTTACCTGGCCAAGAAGTTCATGATTTTGAAAAAATATCATATCCAACAGTTCCTGAGGAATGCACCAGACGATAATTATGTTATGATGAAAATAGCTGTAATTTCTGACATATTCGAAGAGGGAAGCTGTGTTATTTGACATTCGAAAAACATTAAAGATATGGGAACTACGTTGTTAGTTACCGGATACAAAAACTAAGGTTTCAATTGTTACTTCAGAGCCGTCTAGCGCCCAAACTGAGCAACTTTGTACTGAGGTAAGTTTGCTCAGTTATGTTGTGGTCTGAGGAAAATGTGGTACGTTTTTGTAATGACCTTTTAGGGACACCCTATATATTCATGGTCAAAGAAAAAATAGTGTACATCACTCGTTGGGAAGTGTGTTTTATGCACTCGTTACATTTTCGCATTATATGTCACTTTCCACACTAGTCATTTAAGATACTATTTTGGACTCGTCACATAAATTACAATTGCGTTGGAAATGTTACCTTGCAGTGCTTCTCGATCGCCTGCACCGCCTCCCATCCCCAGTCGCGGTACTTCTCGTCCTTGGTCAGCCGGTACATGTAGAAGTACGTCTCGATCACCTCCGGCCGCAGGATGTAGTACTTCTCGGAGCTCTTCAACGCCCTGGCTTCCGATCCTTCCGTGAACCTATGGAGAAATGGAAAATAGTTATTTTTCTCCAAATGCCATTGAAAGTGGCTTATTAACGCCACATAACGGGCAGATTTAGTTTCAATGTGTTGGAACAGCAGGCGGGTTATTGAAATATACAAGTAATGTAGCTTTAGCGAGTGATCACCGATTAAAAGTGGCTCCGATATTAATCCAGTCCTGGTATGTGAACAACAATCCTAAAATTCATAAAAATATATAAGTGGATTACACCAAGAATAGAAACAAAAGAAAACCATCAACAAATTCCCTTATCAGTTCATGATAAGCTGTGAAATAAAGGTGTCCATGAACGTGAAAATAAAATATACGATTCACTGAAATGGAAGAACTGCGTCAAGAGATTATAAGGAATAGAAAAGAAATAAAAAATGCCATAGAAGCCAGCGAATCGAGAGTGATATTAAAATTCGAGGAATTAAACAATAAAGTGAATCAGCTGGAGAAGGAAAATCAAGGTTTGAAGCGAAAAATCGAACTGTTGGAAAGAACAACGAAAAAGAATAATATATTGATATTTGGCTTGGACCAAACAACAGACAATAATACTGTGAATGTTTGCACCGAACTATCAAATTATCTAGGAGTCGACATTACTGAAAATCACATTAATAATATTTATCCATTAACAAATATTCAGAATAAACCACTGAAAGTGGAACTGACATCTTACATAAAAAAACAGGAAATTTTAAAGAACTGCAGGAAGTTGAAGGGAACGAATATTTCAATCTGGCAAGACTTGACATTTGAACAGAGGGCAGAAAATAGAATACTTCGGGAACATTTAAACAGAGCCAGACAAAACGAAAATAATTCAGCTTATATCAAAGGAAATAAACTTCACATCAATAGTAAAGCATATACAGCAGAGCAACTTGAAAATAGAGAAGAAGATCCTCACTCCGAAAAATTCAATAGTGCTCCCCCCACTCCAACCATAAGAAATAAAGAACATACTTCTGTACTAGAATCCGACCTACCAGCAGTTTTTAACGATACAATCAACCAGTACTCAATTTCACAAGAAGCTACATCTCATCAAAAAAATAAGGCAACTGATGAATATACTTTCACGACGAACTCTGGCGCAATCAAGAAGAAAATAGTGTCATCAGTTACTAGTGGTAAAAATAGACTGCGATCCGCAAATAAATGAATGAACTACATTATCAGCTACAAGTGGCAAGTTATATATATTTTCTAATGAATCATAAATAATTCGGAAACTTCATTCTTTACAGCGATTTTCTCACTGTTAATCCTAAATTGTAACTCACTAGGACTCATATTCACTATTTTAGTGGCATAACAAATATCTTTTTCCATTATTTATCTCTTTACTCAACATTGTCTATATGGATCCCTACATAAGAGACTTCAAAGTTGAGAGTATAAAAACGTATCCTTTGAGCTACTGCAATGAAGCGAAAGAAGTTTTATCTATAAATGATAACTTCAATAATTTTAAAATTCTCAATACCAATATTTGTAGTATTTCGAAAAACATAGATGAACTGAAAATTAATCTTGAGGAACTCGAAACGTCTTTTGATTGCATAGTCTTGACAGAAACTTGGCACGTGGCGGATACCTCTCCCTTCAATATGACTGATTACGTAACTCTTTTCAATAATAGCCACTACAATCAAAATGATGGTGTTCTTGTTTATGTAAAAGCAAACTTATATCACTCTCATAATCACATTGAGCTGAATGAAAGTATATTATTAAAAATTAAATTAATTGTAGATAAGCAGACCATTTGCATTTATGCATTCTATAGATCTCCAGCTAGTCGAGTTGATGACTTTCTAGACCAGCTCAATGATATACTCAATGAAGAAAATGATGAATCTCATTACAGTTTTTTTGTAGGTGATATAAATATTGATTTGTCGAAAAAAACTGAAGACTCAAGAACTTATCTCGATATAATGAGTGAATATGGGTACCACTCCACCATAAATACTACTACCAGAGCAAGAAATGGATCCGAATCATGTTTAGATCATATATTTATCAAAATGAAACAGCAAAACTACAATAATCTATTGCCAGTCACTATCTCTACTACAATCACAGATCACTACTTAACGTTATTACAAATTATACTGAATAATAAGAAAAATTACGGAAAAAATAATAGTTTTAAGAAATATTTTCAAAGATTAGACAAAACACTACTGCTGGAATTCATTGGCTGCATTAATTGGGACGATGAATTATATCCGATTCAGAATATCGAATCTGCAGCAGAAAAATTCATTAACATCATAAATACATGTATTCGCAAATCAACTAAGTACATCAAAATAAAAAATTGTGAACGCAAGAGAAAAAACTGGATCACAAAGTCATTAATGAAACAAATCAACCAAAAAAACCAATCCTACTGCTTATGGAAACAAAATCCAAATAATCAAACGATGAAAAAAAATTATCTAACAATGAAAAAAGAGACCGAGGTGAAAATAAAAAATGCAAAGGATATGTATTATAAAAAGTTACTGGAAAATGAACAAAACTCAAGCAAAAATCTATGGAATACTGTGAACGAAATTTTGAAAATTGGAACAAAAAGGCAAATAAATAATATCAAAAACGAAAAAGGAGAAATCGTCACAGATCAAAGAGAAATTGCTAATATGTTCAATAACTTCTTCGCCAATGTTGGAAAAAACTTGGCAAAAAGTATTGAAAAAAATCCCAAATACAAGAGTAAAAAAGAAATATAGGAGAATTCTATTTTTCTAACACCCACGAATAAAAGTGAGGTGAAGAATACAATTGCCACCTTGAAAAATAAAAAATCTCCTGGGCATGATGGCATTTCAGCCGAAACTCTGAAGATTATATCCGAGTTCATAAGTGAACCTTTAACAGACATAATAAATAAATCATTTGAGTCAGGCATATTCCCTTCAATCCTAAAAAACTCAATAATAACTCCAATATTCAAAAGCGGAGACACTGAAAATGTCACAAACTATAGGCCTATTTCGGTTCTACCATCATTCAGTAAAGTCTTCGAAAAAATTTTGAAAAAGAGACTATGCGCATTTCTGTCTAAGCATAATCTACTATCATCATCTCAGTATGGGTTCAGAGACAATAAATCTACAAATGATGCAATTCATTCCTTAACAAAAACTATTTATGAATCTTTAGACTCAAGTACTCCTTCTATAGGTGTGTTCATAGACCTAAAAAAAGCCTTCGATACTGTAGATCACACCATACTGTTAGATACACTAGAAGACATGGGCGTGAGAGGTATTGCACACATTAAAAAGTTATTTAACAGACAGAAAACAAAGAGTAAGAATCGAAAACCAGATCAGTACAGAAATGAGTATTACATGCGGAGTACCTCAAGGGACAGTATTAGGGCCGGTGTTATTCGTGATTTATTTGAATAATTTATTCATACAAGAAACAATAGGAAAAATTATCAGTTTCGCGGACGACACGGTTATATATTATAAAAATGATGACTGGTACAATCTTAAATTGAACATCGAGAAAGATCTTGGGAAACTCAAAGACTGGTTTGATAGCAGATTACTTTCTATCAACTTCGACAAAACTGTTTACTTACCATTCAGCAGCCTTTCAACATCTTTGCCAGAATACACTCTGGAAATCCAGAAGAATTTTTCTATCGAACCAGCAAAAAAAAATTAAATATCTAGGCATTTATATAGACAACCATCTCAGATGGGACCACCATATGGATTATGTAACAAAAAAGCTACGTTGTATACTATTTAGATTCAAACAAGTTGGAAGATTTTTGAATTACAAATATAAAAAAATCCTATATCATAGTTTGGTAGAGTCACATCTGAATTATGGCATTATTGGTTGGGGAGGGGTATCAAGAACTCACCTGCATGCTCTTGAAGTCTCTCAAAGAAAATTCCTCCGAATACTACTCAACAAAACGGCAAGATATTCAAGCAATCTGCTGTATTCTGACACACACATATTAGATATCAGACAATTATATAGTATTCAGATAGGCTGCCAACAGCACAAAAACAAAAATGAACTCACCACTCTAAATCATTCATACGCGACAAGGACAAAACATCAACATCTTATACTATTCTCTTCTAAAACCATAGTTCAGAAAAGCTACGTGTATCTAGCTCCAAAACTTTTCAATTTTTTACCACAGAAAATTAAAGATGAAATTTCGCCGAAACGCTTCAAAAATCAACTCATAACATTTGTAAAACAAACTGAAAGAACCCATATACACAAATTGATAGAGAGTTGAACTGAAAGAAAGAAAAAAGAAATTTTGTCATCTCATATTTTATTCTTAAATATACATGTTCATTTATATCGTTAGACAAATCACTTCTTTATTTGTACATACCATACCATCTCATTCACAATATTTCACTCATTTATTCATATTTATATATTATTATCCATTCATCATCTTTTAACTATTGTAATTCTTATGTAAGTTTTTTTTTACATTGTATGTTTCTTCAAACAATTTAAATTTTTATTTAGTTATCAAATTGTCTCATTGAACTTTTGCTGACTGTTTGTATAACCACAAACAAGTATGCATAATACTTCTGTGGAATTTGTTCATGTTTGTTCATATTATTTTATCAATTATTGTTATTATTGTACTGATTTTATTATGAATAAACATTATACCATACCATACCAATGTGTACAGATTGAATTGTAATGATTGTAACTCTTCTTATACAGTCTGTCCAAGATAAGGTTGAACAGCATAGGGATCTCGAAAACTGTAGGAGATACGAAGTCGGTTAAATGGGGAAAAAGTTGCGCAATTGGAGGCTCATATCATGAGCCTTCGAAAATTTTTAAAATTATTTGTAGATTTTTAGTTATATAGAAAAATAGTGAATTTTTGGAATATCTATTTAATTTTTTTTCTCCGTTATTATTAGAGATACAGAAAAACTGAAAATACTTTTTCATAGCAACTTTTGATGACGTTTAACGTGGTTATACCGATTTTTTTATGCGACGTTTCGTATCCGTAGAAGCATCATCAACTTTTGTTTTTTAAATACGGTCCTGATAATTTTTTCACAGATTCTGAAAGGTTTTTTTTATTCTGAATTCAATCATGTATTAGACAAGGTGATTCGAATGTGTTTCGACCTATTTCTATCCATCATCAATGTTTTTTCGAACTTCCAAAGGAAAAGTGCCATCAGTTCCATTTATTTCTGATCATTTAGTATCACACATTGATGGATTAGTTATTCAATACTGAGAAGTGAATAAAAAATATTTCACTACATCATTCAATGCAGCGCTTGAAATTGTTGATGAATTCTTACACGAATTACTTTAACAACTTAACTTTGACAATACCTACAGAAACATTCATAACAAATGTTCAAAATGATAACCATTATTTTCTGAACAAAGATATCCTCTTCTCACAGTTGCTTCTAAGACATTACTAAGCATTTCTGGGGTTATTCTATTGAATGCTTCGATGACACTGTCCCTCAGTTCTTCTTCATCATCAAAGCTATTTGAGTGTACAAAGTTTTTGATATATCCCCTAAAAAAATCCAGCTGTGTCAAATCAGGTGACCGCGCCGGCCAAGGGATTGCAGAATGAGTACCAATCCATTTTTCTGGATAAAAACGTACGAATTTCTCTGGAATTATGTACCGGAGCGCGATCTTGTTGAAACCAACAGTTCTGAACTTCCGTAATCGGTAAATCATCCAGAGCTTCCTCAAGATGATTCTCAAGCAAATTTCTATAACGTTAGGAAGTCTGTGTTTCATGGTAAATAAAAGGACCAATAATTCGTGTACCAAATATCGCAACCCACATATTAAACGGTGTTGGTGTCTCGCTGTAATGTATAAATGTTCATTTTCTCGTGAACAATAATGTGTATTTTTTCTATCGAAGATACCATGGTTAGTGGCCATGCTTTCATCAGTCCAGATGATTGTTCGCGGGAAATTTGCAAAATTTCGACATTTCCTGGTATACCACCCACAGAATGTCCTGCGCCTTTCGTCATCGCCTGGTTTTAGCTCTTGACATATTTTGAATTTGTATGGATGGAATTTTTGTTTCCGCAAAATGAAATAGGTTGTTGATTGAAACCAGTTGATGAGGTATTAGTGTGTTGACTAATTTTCCTTCAAAATAAGTAGAACTGGTGACATTTTTCCTTTGGAATTTCGAAAAAACATTGGATGATGGTTAAAACTAGGTCGAAACATACATAGAGAAATTGGTATCACCACGTTAAACGTCATCAAAAGTTGCTATGAAAAAATATATTCATTTTTTCTGTATCTCTAATAATAACGGAGAAAAATAATTTTAAAATTTTTCGAAGGCTCTTGATATGAGCCTCCGAATGCGCAACTTTTTCCCAATTTAACCGACTTCGTATCTCCTACCGTTTTCGAGATCCCCATGCTGTTCAACCTTATCTTGGACAGACTGTATAAGTCAAACTCTGGTAGAAGTTTTGAAACCGGCGCCTCTGAACATAACACACTCATCCACAAATTTCTCAACTCAGATAACCCTAACACTACATCTTCCTTTGCAAATCATATTATTGATTCCAGTCATTCTTTTGATGTTAACTCCAACATAGAGATTATACACATTTGCAATAAAGGTCCACGGCTAAACCTCCTGGAAATTTTAGAAATTCAAAAATGTATCAATATTCCGAATATTAATTGTCTCAAACTAATTTTGAACGAAACCACATTTTTCGCACACTTGAATTCTCATGACTAATTTTGTCTCACTTGCTTTTACCTAAGCCGGCCCTGTTCTGTTTTGTTCACCTTCCTGAGTTCTTCTTCTTCTTCTGGGTTTGATTACATTTACTACACCTTGACATTTCTTCTTTTTTTCTTGGATTACTTATATTATTCAGCCTCAACACTTACTTCTCCTTTAGGTTTTTAGGCATAATGGACTTTGTAATTAACCAAGTTTTCAGAAATTATTTGTAATATCACTCATGATGCTCAAAAATTCCAATCTTATACTGTACATGTCATTTGCTTTGTATCATATGTCACTGTCATTCATCTTGTTATTGTCAACGTCTGTTGCTATGCTTGACGCTTCGCCTTGGTTTTTGTCTTTCACAAAAATAGCCATTTTGAGATGAAACTCCTTTGAGTGAATTATCACTAATTTCTCCCTAGTTTGTGCCAATGTTGAACCTAATGATTGTTGGGTTCTTTTGGCTGTTCAGTCGTTCAAAAAATTTTGATATTTCTTGACCGGACTGAAATTTGGCCAAATGACCACCGCTCCTTAGTATTTTGATTGTGTTTTCCACGTGGACTTTTAGGTATGTTTTTCCTCAATATATTATTATCCTTGTAAAGCAGATATCTTTACAGGTACTATGTATTGTGTCTGAAGATGGCTGTTGGAGCCGAAACTAGTCACACATTTTTTTTTAATAAAACTGTGGTCGACCGACTTGGTGTATTGTTTTTTTTTTGAAATATACAAGTGTTAAGAAGGAGACTATCTACCTAATTAAACTAATCTATCTGCATACTATTTTCCCATTCGCGGTCGCCAAGGTCATCATCTGAAGTTACGATGACATGAAAACTACAGGTAAACATTCCTAACTCCTGACACAGTTTGAAAGTTAGACATGTTTTCCCGTAGAATGTCATCGCAACGTCATCTAATGACAGCGAATAGAAAAAGTGGTCGGTCAGTTGGGTTAGTTTGTAACGCGCTGTTTTGTTCGCGCTGTATTGTTAAGCACTGTATTGTTAAGCGTAGCAGAGCCCTCTGATGGTATCCGAATGATCTGTTGTAGTACACTTTGTTTGTTATCAATTAGGTGGTGTTTCGGTTATGCGATGGTTCGCTGATTGAAGTGAACTGTAATATTTCCGAGAATGAACGCACTTCGGTGGTATAGATACTTTATTCCTAAAGTACAATCTGCAACTCGTTTCGTACGAGCGATGCTAACTAACTTACAGTTAAAGTTCAACTGACTCCAAGCGTATCGGGACACTTCTCATTCATAGTGGGTTGGGCGACAAATTCGTTAGATACAAAAAATGCTCTTTGATATACATACAGGGTGTATTTCAGTGGCTGAAATATTATAAACTCTAACAGGTGGATCATTCTATCAATTGATTTTTTTTATAGAAGTTGAGTAAGATAATGTTTTTGATGTGATGCATTATTTTTTAATTGTATTGGTCAGTCACTAGAGTCCCTGTATATACCTTTGACAAGAGTCCGGAAACAGCTATACTTCTGTCCTTTTCTGTTTTCAAAAAAATGCATTGATGATTGAATAAAGGAATAAGACATATATATATCGAGCTCTGTCTTCTCAATTCCCCTAGTATCAATGATTGTCAGAAACAATTTGGAGGGTTAGATTATTTGTCAAACCGTTCACAGCCGTAGGTAGAAGTGAGAAATAGGGCTATTTTGACAAGAATAACTATTAGATTTTCAAATAATGAACAACAGGGTGTTCATTTCGAATCGATAATTTTCATAATGAATTCCTGAGATGACTATTGCAAATTTTCGTCATCAGATATGTCTTCACTTCATCAGATATAAGAAAGATAATTTAAGTATTCTACGTGGTATCACATAGTTGTTTTCTGTTGGGATATAAAAAATAAAAGATATATAATTGTTTCAATATAATTTTCTCCGATTCTCTCAATTTAATAACACTCATCAGGAATAAAAGTGGCAAAATCAAAACAACAATATATTTGATAGCGAGTGCTTTATCAATAATTGTGTCGGTTTTCCACCTCTTCCTGCAGTCTACATTCACCTACATTTTGAATTTGATCTGAATTAAAAACACCGTGGACTGATGACATAGCACATTACAGTTTCTCTAAATCTTCTAGTTTTGGTTTTAAACTTTCAATTTCTTTCCGCATCATCTCATTCTCATTTTCATTCTCTGCGATCGTATCATTCAGTAATTACCAATACGATGACGACGGGACTCTTTTTTTGAACGTCTCTATTTCATAAATTGACGGCACAGCAGACTCTTTCAATTTGAAATCCATCAGCTTGAAAAAATCTCTATCAAAATGGGCCTAAAATTCATCTTTCTTGTACTGTTTTTACAAGTTAATATGAATATTTACCTCACATATTGCGGATTTCTTGAAATTAACTTTCTATTCTGGACGTTTCATTGCATTCTTCCATGACATTATCTCTAAAGGATCATTCATATTGAATAACTTGAATCCCTTTTCTAATGAATTATCGCAATAATGTACGCAGCAGGACATTGATGAAATAATTTAAAGTGCTAAATTTTGGCGGTCATAAAATTTCAAAGTGACAGTGACAGACATTCGGAGTAATTAAAAAAAGCGGGCGGGACGACTATGGTATTTCGTCACATTGTCAGGTGGGCAAACCAAATGAAACAAAATATTAAACACTCCAACGGCTGTCAGTTTTGTGTCCGGACTCTTGTCTGAAGTATATACAGGGATTCTGGATAACACTAGCTGATTTATTGTTATGAAAATTAAAAAAAAACATACTTTCTTAAAATACTTTTATCTTCTCTTGAAAAGGAGACATTGACATGAATCAAAAAACCATTATATTGAGAAGGAAATCTTTGAATCCAAAACATAAGAAAGGTGAGTTTAAACACTCACATCTACCATGGCACATTGGGATGGTACCTTTTTTCCAGTATAATGATCAAGTCATGATCATTTCTTGGGAACATTCACATAAATATACAAATTGGTCGAAGTTTTACCGGAATCAGAAAATTATTAAAAAAGCTACAGTGCAATCAATTAGGCATAATTCTTTTTTGGCCGGTTTTTTTCGTCGGTGAGTGTATTATGTTCAGTTTTAGCATTTGATAAAATTCGGATTATTTTCTAACCTGAAAGATTCTGGGCCAAGCTTGGTCTGGGACCTGTCGTAGGATTCGTGACAAGTCCGGGTTATCTGTTCGGCGACATCCATGTACCTGCCGGAAACTTCATTCGGTAGACTCCGCGATGCCAAAGCCAGTAGTCCGCCTACGAAGAGAAGAAAATATAATATAAAAACTTTCTGACCAAGAAAAACAAACGGATAACCATGTTATTCAGTGTATTGTCCCCACCGAATGAAGAAATAATTTCAAATTGAATAGGATTTCAAAATTCCCGCCTTATTCAACTGTGGAATGCTGACATGCGCCGTAAAGATATTGGCCTCTATGAAAGATGCAGATATATTGCCCTCTGAGATTATGTTTTTCTGAATAAAACCTCAAAATAATTCGTTGACACCTGGTGTTCCGAAGGTATGAGATTCAAATATGGCAAGGGTGTATGATTCGAGAATTGATTTTTGAATACACCCTGTATTGTATTACATAATCGGTTAGGGATTATCATAAGGAATTCATCGATACCGGATTCGATAAGGTTATTTTAAACGATTACGAAGAAATTCGCATTAAAAATTTCCAAATTTTCAATGAGTGTGACAGAGAAAGAAGTTTCGATGTTGCTCAGTCACCGGGAATGATGAGAGAGTATGAAACATTTAACAATCATTCTTGAATCCAAGATATCCCTGACAAGTTTGAATATCGTACCTTCAGAACTTCAGAAAACTGAAAACATGCTTTATTTGAATGATTTATTACATTCATATCGAATCGACTCATGGCATCTGAATTTTGGTATCGCAGAGAACTAAAACGTCAATGTCATTCCCAACAACATATAATCCCCAGATGTTCAAAAAAAATTTCAATACCTACCTCCTATCCCTATCCTCCCTAGGAACGCACGATGTTCTTTAAACATTATAGGGATTCCCTCTCGTGCGCTCCAAGCGATAAAAAAAAAGCCACTGAACAGCAAAAAATCTGAAGGGTATCTCCTATGCAGTAATAAATTTGCACCTTTGAAGTGCCCACCTGATGTTAGGTTGTTATTTTCATCTGAATAATCCGAGACTTACAAGTACCAAAAGACGCTTTCTAATGATAAATATCTAAGGTACCGACGTATAGAGTTTCATGTCTGATTGTTGGATATTTTGTGTCCAAGTGTTGAGATAATGTCTTGGTGCGCGTGGCATGAAATTCTGGTTACGCACTAAACAACACGGGGTAACAAACATCAACAGTGCCGACAGTAAGTGCGACTACTGAGTCTTTAGCATTCTACTGTGGTATTGCTTAAAAGTGACAAAGTGAAATATCATTCATGTCTGCCAAAACACTTTTTTTATCCTTCTTAAAATATATATTTTTTTAAATAAAAATAATTCTATGATTCCTATGTCCTTTTATGACAATCAGTTGAGTAGTTTTGGCGTGAACGTGTAACAAACAAACTTACATTCACATTTAAAATATTAAGTAAAGTATGGATTTGCTCAAAAGGAAACATAACGACATTGTTGCAATTTTAGACTACATCAATTAACATTCAGTGTGTTGTGTACGTACTCCTAGAATCTTGAAGGTGGAGAGAAATAAATTGCTCGAGAATTCACCGAACAGTATAGCCATGTTATCTGTATGCTAACATGATGAATGACAGAATGAATATGTATAATCCCAATATCTCTTCCTATTTCGTCACTTGACACAATGACAGTAACAATGAAAGTCCAGATTGCCAACATAAATACTTTCGCGGTTATAAGTATAAGGTAGAATTCAAATAAACATCTCTCTCACAGATTTAGTCTTTCAGGAGGATAAATGACGCTTGTGGATCTCCGCAGTTCAGAAAGTCCATTAGAAGTAGGTAATCAGTTTTTCGTATGAATGAGTTCTGGTAGTGCTATTACTTCGTCAGATATTTGTGGATTAATTACTTGATCAGATATTGCTGGATTAATTTTTGATAATTCATTAGGTTCTAGTTATCTGAACGATTCGAACGTGCTAAGTTTATTTGAGGTATCTGGTGAGATACCTGGTACTTTAGCATGAGTATTTTCTCCTATTAGTTGAATCTGGTCTATGTGCCTTTTTCAGACACTCGAACAGGTCTCTCCATGTAGTGGTCGACGGAGTTTCATCTGACTCTCGTATCATAAATGTTGGTGTTCCGCAAGGATCAATTCTAGCACCAACACTATTTCTACTCCATATCAATGATTTGTTGGAAACAACTTAATGTCCGGCACACAGCTTCGCGGATGATACTTCATGTCCGGCACACAGCTTCGCGGATGATAGTACCCTCCATACCGCCTTTTCTTCCAGGGCTCAAATTCCAACCAGGCAAATCAGAAAACGAATGAGGGAGAAATGTTGACAACATAAATATGGACTTGGCAACAATTCTCGAATGGGGATCCAATAACTTGGTAGATTTCAATGCAAACAAAACACAGCATGCCTTTTCTCTAGAAAAGCCGTTCTCACTATGCCCAACATAAGCTCATCAGGAGTAACCATACCGTTGAAGACATCCATTTCGATGCTTGGTATTACTATCAGCAATAACCTTTCTTGGGAAAATCACGTGAGATCAATTGCTGAAAGTGCATCCCAAAAACTTGGTTTTCTGTTTCTGGCCAGGAGCTATTTTACTTCTAGTCAGATGCTTATGATCTATAAGATCCGACCTGTCCTGGAATACTGTTCCCATATGGAGTGCAGCACCCAAAAATACCCTGAAACTGATGGATTCTGTCCAAAAAAGGGCAATTCGTCTCGTGGGTGATGCCTCGCTCACAAACTCACTCACTTCTCTGGAACACCGTAGAAAAGTTGGCGATCTGGCTCTATTTTAAAGATATTTTCATGGACGATGCTCTTCTGAAATATCAACAATTGTTCCTCCCTTCGCAGTTCCTGCGAGATTAACCCGTCGAGTTGAGGCTTCGCACCCCTTCGTGGTCACTTTGGAGACCTGCAGAACATCCCTTTCCAAAGACTCGTTCATCCAACGAACAGCGAGGCTCCGGAACACATTGCCAAGGGAGGTGTTCCCCGAGGTATATAACCTCTAGAAATTCAAGAAGAACACCAATTCCTACTAAATTCCTACTTTTCACTATGAATATAATCACGGCACGCTACCCTATCGCCTATTTTCAAGTCGCGGATTTTTTTCCTGTATGTCTATATTATTATTTATTCTATTAGAACTTTCTGCCGGCAATAGATCTAATCTGGATATAATATATCTCTACCAAAAAACATGTATGATGGAATTACACCCGTTCCATAATGTGGCGTTTTTCTAAAAGGAATTCACAAAGTTGTTTCTGCTGATTTTAGTTATCCCCCTTCAGCGCTCTAAGTCTGAAAATATCTTTTGGCTAAACCATTAGTGGCTGGGTGATATGGTGCACTCAAGCGATGAGTTATACCATTTTCTTGAAGGAATTGTTTGAACTTTCATTGTTACTGTCATTGTTGTCAAGTGACGAAATAGGAAGGGGTATTGGGATTATGCATATTCATTCTGCCATTCATCATGTTAGCATACAGACATCATGGCTATACTGTTCGGTGAATAAAATGCCACTTAATTATACTGGAGCAATATATTTCTCTCCACCTTCAAGATTTCAAGAGTACATACACAACACAGTGGAACTTTTATCTGAAATTTTTGTAGTTTTATATTGCTCTGAGCTCTGCTGAGTAACTGAAAGGTTGGCTTAGCCAACTATGGAAACCGAATAGAAATCAGTAATGGAATCCATGAGTAAATCGACTTTCAAGCCGGCCACGACGTTTATTTCATTAGTTGCGTTTTATTTGTTTCATTATGGAAGCGGTGGTGGGAACAGAATGACGTTTACAAATTAAACGAGAAACTTCATGTCCTTGCATGGGAGAATTCACATAAGAGGTTATATTTATATGTTTGCGGCTACAAATAATTCCAAAATCATGATACTAGAGTTAAGAATCTAGAAAATCAATCAACGAATATTTGGAGCAGTGATTGTGGTGATTAGAGAAACTTATTCTCTGAGATCGAGAGAATTAACCTGTCTTACCTGAAAATATCATGAACTTGTGAACTTCACGATCACAATGTCTGCTAAAAGTCTTCTACTTTCAAAATTTTTCGTTTTTCGTCAATCTAATATAATTTCTTGACAACTGTCAAAAGTCATTCCTTGTAGTAAGACGGAATGAAAAGTAGCAACCGGAATCGGAAAAGTTGCAAATAAAACAACACATCAAAGTGATTCCAGTAGCGGAATCGGATAAATAAAACGCAACTATTGATCAGTTTGGAAATACTGAATTCCAAAATTCAACATATAGAAAATAATTGTTGGCTCACCCGAAAAACACGCCAAATGGTCCATCTTGTGCTCGGGCCTATCGAATTTCAGTTCAGCGAAGTACATGAGCCCGTTCGGCGACGTCTTCAGCATGTGCTGGAAGACGGCGCGCATCGCCTCGTCGAACATCTGCCTGGCCTCCTTGTCCTCCTTGTTCGACTGCAGCCACGCCTTCAGCAGGTACTCGTAGTAGCTGTCGCCGAGGGCGCCCAGAGACATGTGATCTGAGAAGGAAAGAAGGTTCTTTCTCATTTAACTTTCATCTCTTTCTCTCAGTACAGTAATGAATTGATAGTCCGAAAACCCTGAGTTCTTCGTTAGTCTTACTTCGCCAGGTTGTTCAGTTATTTTTTCTCCAATCGACAGCAAATTTTGATTTTGCAGACACATATGAGGTAATAATTGACAAAGACAACGTAAAACAGGTAAACATATTCAAGTACCTACTTGGGGGTAAATGTGGATAGGAGAGTACAGTGTGTCCAGTTTTCGATGCTTTTGTGCGATATCTCAGTTGTCTTTGGAGATAGAGAGTTGCGGTTTTCACATTACTTTCTTACTTTTTTGTGGAACGGACAATGCCGCAAACAGAATTGTCACAGCTCTCCATGTTCTTGAGATACAGGGCGAAATTGAAAATTCTCACTTTTTGAGCAACTCCCGTATCTTGGTTAGTATCCAACTTATTGGCATTCTGATTCTGATTCTGAATACAGTGGCGTACTCATTTTGTTTCCGTAATGGCTCATTTTCAGAAATTGAAGCCAACTTTCTTTTCTTTTTCAAATGGGACACCCTGTATATTTCTTTACATTTCGATCCAGATTTTTTTTGGCTTTCCGAAAATATATGATAGTTGACATTTTTCTATATTATTGATGTTTCAATTCAAAGATATTCTTTTACCATGCGTTCTCGCAAGTAGGCCGTGATGACTCAGTAGAAAACAAAGTTGTTTATAGCTGTCAATAGTTGTTGACATGAACGCTTATCAAACTTTCATGCTATACTGTGTTTTCAAGAGTTTCGCACTCGTTATTTTTTAATTTTTGTATTTTTCTGCGATTCAAACGATGGCAGCACTGTATCGAAATTATGAAAAATATGATATGTTAGTTTGCTTCATACAATGCAATGAAAACTCACATGATGCTTCAGAATTATACTCCGAAAGGTAATGTTTACATGAATTATTTGTGCTTATAAGTATGAAGTTATATATCGATATATTATAATTACTGATATAGGTATCCGGAAAGGAGGCAGCCTTCTTCTGATACTTTTTCCAGGATGAAGACAAATTTATTAGAGAATGGAGCATTCAAACAGCCTCGACCAACTCTATCACAAAGGAAATCGTGAAACGGACGAAATCAACGTTTCAGCTTTCGTAGAAGCAGCGCCATCAAGTTCATGTCGAGTTATTGAAAGAGAAGTCGGTTTTGAAGAAAAATAAATTCACACCATATAAATTACAAATCGTACAGCATTTGCATCCCGAGGATGCGGGACGTCGATTAATTTTTTGTAATTGGTATATGGAACGGATTCGAATGAATATTGATTTTTCCCAATCAATATGGTCTGATGAATCATATTTTTCGAGAACCGGCATCTTCAATCGCCAAAACACCAGACATTGGTCTCAAGAAAATCACCATGTTATATTTGAACGAGAACAGCAAGGACGGTTTGGCTTCAGCGTGGCTTGTTTCATTTTGGGTAGAAATATAGTGTATCGGATTCATGAAGGAGGTCTCACTGCAATCCGTTACCTAGAAATTCTACGAGATGTTTTGCCAGAGCTGCTGGACAATATCCCTCTGGCTCAGTTGAATGATATTTGGACTGTGTCAAGTCATCCGTTCGACCACAGTGGTGATACCAGGATGGTCAAATGGTTGACTCGACTCCCATCAAAAATAATGTGGTAACTTTGCGGGCAGGTTTGAAACGTGACCGATATTCCCAAACAGCTGGTTGGTCAAACTGATGGTCAGACTTCATACTGAACGTATGTGCCCGGTCAAACCACAGACTTGACACAGGAATTCTAACAAATTCGCACACAAACAAGAAAACATGGGAGACAAAGAACAAAGACACCGCTACCCTGGAGAAACCTTGCTCAAAAATCCTTTCCAACATAATTCCCCCATGACAGCATCTTTGACTCTTTGTCCATTATTGTTGTTGTTGTTTTTCTTGTGAATAATAATTACTTTTGATTTTCGACAAACGATAAGTACGAAAACATAATTCTGTAATGATAGGGTGAAGGGCCCCGTTTGATATCCTATATTGAATGGGGAAGTTTCCTTCAGATTAATTTTCATAAAATAAGTTCGGAGCTCCTCAGTTCTATGTCCACGCTGTACAGAATGGCGATCGATAAGTCCAAGTCGTTTTCATTTTCTAAATAAAGCAATTTCTAATTCTTGGGGCGGCAAACTGTGACGTATATTCTGAATCTAGTCTGAATATAGCTGATGATGAAGAATATAGCAAGCGAACAGCTGATGAATGAAAAACGAATAAAAAAATAGAAGAAGAAAACAACTTGGCGTCGTTTGATTATATCTTGAAAAATAACAACGATCACTTAACTCCAAAACAACTATAGCCTGTAGATATAGGATAACAAATGACTGTAGTTCGAAATTCGGCACAAGTAAGACTGGTAAACAAAAACATACATAACCACAAAATCAGATCATGGTGTGTCTGTTCGTATTGTGTGGTGTGGACGGGCTCCAAATATTATGTTCTGTTGCAAGATATAATCAGCAACTTTCCTAGAAAATAGATCCGTTTTATGAAGGAACAAATCCATTTTGATACAAACGACTGATAAGTTATGAATATCATGTTGTAATTAAACGAAAGTGAAAAATTCATCCAGCAAATGAGGGATTTATGAAAATTATTCATAATACTCCACGAAGTAGGATTAAAGAACCTGTTATATGTATCTATCCCATTGCTGGTATGATAGAGTTATAAGGTATTCAAAGAACAATTTCCGGAAATCTAGACATATTGATGATGCCGGCAACGTCGAACTGACACAAGGAATCTTATTTTAACTCTGTGTGAATGTGGCTTTTCATAAAGTACGTCATATAAATGGTGAAGCAGCCAAGTTCCTTTTTCATTCATTTTTTCCTTAAGTGAAATTTGATCTTACGAAAAAAAAAAAAGAAGGAAAATTACGTACACATTAAATTTTAATAAATTTCACAGTGAGATGAAAACCTCAATATTGGAAAATTTCCCATTGAATGTAATTTGATTGAATAATATTGTATTTATTATTATTATGATGGAAGGAATATTGAGGAAACTGTTTGAATCAACTAGGAAGAAAATATTGGACATAGCCCTCATGAAGAGTCAACTGCAGACACGTGTCCACATCAGTACGGTGAAAAAAGTGCAAAGGATAGACAACACTTGGAGGAAGACGAAACAACAAACTTGCGGCTGGCTTCTGATTATAGACTCCGTTTATTTGTTGTTTCGTCCTCTACAAAGTGCTGCCTGTCCTTTGCACTCCCTTTCACCGTATCACAGCCGTCTTCAACTATCAAGCCGTGCTGAGATAATGGCAACGTCGCACGAACGAAAACCGTCGGTCCCATTCGCGCCTAGCAATACAATGGTTTTTATATGAGCGCGAGCTTTGAATGTTTGGTTTAAAGTAATTTTCTCGGATTCTTTTGTCGAATAGGTAAAAAATACACGGGAGTGAACTTACAGAGTGAAGAACGAGGAATAATGTGGTTGAATAATTCCCTTGGTCATGAACTGAAGCCGTAATTTTGAACATTTTGATAAAATAAAACTTATGGAGACATCGAATTTTTCATTCATATCTGAGTGTTTGTCAGTTTGATCTGAGATGTTTTTGAATCTAGCTAGAATATTTTCAAGTTGTGACCATCTATTCAATTTCATATCATGAGTAAGAATCCATTTCAATTCATTGAATCCAAGTTTATTATCACCAAGAAAAACTTGGACCTCCATCTCATTGGATATTTCAACTTGAGAAACGATTTGTAAAGAATTTACATCATTGGGATAAAAAACATTTGCTTGCAAATCTAATTCATAAAAATACAATTTATCATCAGTCTCATTGATTTTCCAAGTATCAATTTTAACTTTCTCAACATATTCCCTAACTAACTGTTCATAGTTGTGGATGAGGTCTGATTTTTCAAACTGTTCTATTATATTACTCTGAATATCTAAATATTTCTGACGTCTCTCATTTGGATCAGTTCTTTATGGTTTGGCTGGTTTTGAACAATATTTTGGTAAATTTGGAAAAATTGAAGGAACTGCTGTTTTGACTAACTTTGGTGCTCGTAACGAATTTTTTCCAACTGATCCATCTGGCAGAGGGAATGTATCATACCTGATGATATCTTTTTCAATCAAATGAATTGCACATACTGCAGAACGTTGAGATGGTGTCCAGTTTTTTCGAGGTATTGCTGTTATCCACTTATTTCGCAATTCTTCCCCTTCTGGGAATAAAAAAACTGAGACATGATCCTTTCCCAGCTGTTTTTCAGATCTGTAATTTGACTTACATCCTGGCACACAACAATGAAAAGGCATATTTTATAAGGAATAATGAATTACTTATTTCCAAGAGTAAATTAAAAAAAAAACACACAAATTCCCTTTCCAATTTAACACAATTGTGAATGCACTTGCCACACACTTTCAGTCTCGAGTCGATTCCTAGATTGTTGCTAATACTTTTAAAATTATTTGATCTCAATATTACACCAATTAATAAGTGAAAACTTTAACAAAACCTTCCATAAACTCCTTGTTTACTTCCTACACAATACACTTTGAATGGCCGACTGGTGCGCGTTCGGTCGTTCGGACAATGTTGCCAAGTTCATTCTTCATGGCTGGCTTTCAATTGAAGACGGCGCTGTGACCGTATTGATAAGGGCCGAAAGCCCGAGACACTTGTGTGCGGTCAAACCTTTACGAGGGCTATGCCCAATATTTCCTTTCTAGTTTCTTATATTATCATTGCTATCATCTTATCCAATGTATGCTTACGTTGTCCCCACACCCCCGACTTCGGATTGAGGTAGTTGGGATAGAGCCCTTTCGGCTTGTCGAGATCGTGCAGCACCTTCCTGATGCGCTCTACCTTCGAGCGGTAGACGGGATCGCCGGTGACGTCACTCAGATAGGACATCTCCAGGTGGAGCGTGCCGAATTCGGACAGGATGCTGGAGCCACTGCTGGCCCATCCGTAGTTCTTGCTTACCTAGAACGGAATGATGGTACAGGGTCATTCCGTATATTTAAACAGCTTCTACAGGCGTCATCATTTAAGATAGAGAAAAACTTCGAAAGCGATAGTTGTAAGGTTTGTTCTGAACCTCCAGAAAATTATACCAGATGCAACAAATGAATATCTTATATATTTTTCGAAAAAAATCAAGATCTTTTCATCCTGATTCCAAAAATATATTGGTCATTGATATTTGGTCCAGCCGTTTTCGAGATATTCGAGGTTGAATATTCTAGATTTAGTTTTAATTTGATTTCACCACATCGCAATTGTCATGAAAAAAAACAACACATACGCAAGTTGTCATCAATAAAACGTTCTGTCATATGTTCATTGCATAGAATTTCGGAAGAAATATGGGTTTCAGTGAAGATGACAAGTTTGAAATGATTCGTTTATTCTAAAAAAAATAATAATGCAATGGAAGATCGAGCGGAGTATCAACGCATTCATCCTGGAATGAAGTTCCTTCCAGAAGTACGTTTTATTTCACTACGAGGAGTATGAGAGAACGAAAATCTCTTCAAAGAAAAAAACTCACTGTCATTGCTGATGAAGATGGAAAATTGGAAATATTGCTTTATTTTCAAGGTAGAACAAACATTGAATTACTGAAGTAAATATTTGTGTTCATCTTCACTGAAACCCATATTTCTTCCGAAATTCTATGCAATGAACATATGACAGAACGTTTTATTATTATATTTTTTTTATCGCTTGGAACGCACGAAGGGGAATCCCTATAATGTTCAAAGAACATCGTGCGTTCCTAGGGAGGATAGGGACAGGAGGTAGGTATTGGAACTTTTTTTGAACTTTTGGAGATTATATTATGTTGTTGGGAATACTTCCACAGGCAATGAATTCCAGAGCCTAGCCGTTCTATGACAACTTGCGTATGTGTTGTTTTTTCTTCATGGCAATTGCGATTTGGTGAAATCAAATTAAAACTATATCTAAAATGTTCAACCTCGAATATCTCGAAAACGGCTGAACCAAATAGAAATGACCAATATATTTTTGGAATCAGGAAGAAAAGATCTTGATTTTTTTCGAAAAATATATAGGGTTGTTCCATTGAAAATAACGAAGTTGGTATCCATTTCTTATATCAGCGATATTCATTTGTTTCATCTGGTATAATTTTCTGGAGGTTCAGAACAAACCCTACAACTTTTGCATTCGAAGTTTTTATTCATCTTCAATGATACACCCTGTAGAAGCCGTTTAAATATACGGAATGACCCTGTACATGGAGCATGGTGGAATAATAATATGGTGTGCTACGACGCATCTTCGTATATGTTACTGCGAGTAAAACAAAGCACAGTTGCCATGTTTTGAAAAACGATTGGACATTTCAGAAATATCAGTTATTCAATAATTCATAAATTCTCAATTGAGTATTGGTAATATTCCTAATCATTAATAAAAATTCAATTGTCTCAAAATGTTCCCTTATGATTTGTGGCTTATTGCTTATAATAATTTTGTGTAGATGATAATTATATTAATTCATACTAACGGGCATTTAGATAGATTCTTTATTGTTCTTCAAACTAAACAATTTTTAACAAGGGTTCAGGTACATGATTTGAAGTAATATCAAAAAATAAACAAAGATAGATATGAATACATTGATATTCAAGTGTGTAGCAAACTAAGGATTAGCAAGAATAAAAACTAAAATACATCGTTATACAGAGAGATAATCTATAGGAATGATTGGCATCATGATTTATGGATATTTTAAGCGATAATAATGTTTGGCAGTCATTTACAATAATTCACTCATTTAAGATGAAAGATCTCAATTTCATGATGTACATATGGTTATAGATAGTTTTTCCTATTGTTGACGTTATATTATTGAGAACGTTAACAAAGTTTTCCAAGTTGGAGAGGTATTCGACGTTCGGAGGTTTCATAGAGGTATAGATCGGTCATTCAAAGAGGAGGAGGTCTCATATCTTTGTTGATTACAAATGGTGCAGAACTCTCTCGGATTGATATGGTATGTGTTACCATGAAAAGTCAGTTTCAGCATGTATTTATTTGATAGTCTGATTTGTGCTATGGTTCTGGTTATCAGTATTTGTATTCTCAAATTGAGGTACTGTCGTGAGTTGAGAAATTTTAAAAGGTGGATCGCATTGCCTAAGATCTGCCTTCATGTCTTAGCTTCTCTTCGAAAGTATTGAGAAGTTGTTTTTTGATTTTTCTGAGGTCTATTGTTTCAATATTCGATATATTCATGGGTGAATCAGCATATTCAAAAAAAGTGTTTATTTGCATAGTCCAGTTGTATTTGGATTCGCAGGTTGTGATTTCTAGGTGCCTTAGAAAACAGATCTTTGGAAGACGATGATCTCCCATTTGTTGGAGTTTGGTGAGTCAATTTATAATGTGCTTGAAAACTGTGGGTGAAATTTTCACACGACCAGCTTCCAGCCTGACGATTGCGTCTGGAGTGTTGATGGGGAGAAGGAGTATTCGTTTCAGAACATTGATTTGGACGCGCTCTATGAGGTCGATGTACCCTGTTCCCCATACTGGAATACAGTTAGTTACGAGGCTGAGAACTAGTGAGTCAAGCAGTTGCATGCGCGATTCCCAGGAATCCATTTTAGTTCTCCTCATCAGAGCTGTTACTGAGCTAGTCGCATGTTTCGCTTTTTCAACTGTCAGTCGGGACATTTTATTGAAAAGGGAAGAGGAAGTGAAAGTGACGCCAAGATAGACGAATTCTGTGACGATATCAATCTCTTTTTATTAATACAGGAATATGGCTTCCTTCGATCTCGGATTTCCTCTCGAGAACAATAATATTCACTTCAAGGAGATGGCGATCACTATACCTACTCTTCTAGAATCCTGAGGTTTATACTCAATTGAGCCTTTGATTCAAAATGTTCCCTTATGATTTGTGGCTTGGTATTGGTATTGGTAGGTTGGATGGTGACAGATGCGCTGCGACCCAATTAGATCTATTGTGCCCCATCTGCTCCTGCTATATCAAGGATTTCTTGTTCATAGCAGCCCCTCGAGATTCAATTCCTTCAGGAATTTGAGGATTTTGAGGGGGTCTAGCTGTGGTATTTCTTCCACAGTCAGCTGGTGTGTTCCCAGTATGTTCAATCTTTTGTGATGTACAGCGTCACACTCCATCAGTATGTGATGGGGTGTTTCTGGTTCTTCCTCACAGAATCTGCAGGTGCCGTCCTCCTGTAAGCCTAGCTTCCTTAGGTGTTCTTTGAGTCTGCAATGCCCCGTTAGAAATCCCGTTATTGCTTTGAGACTTCCTTTGCTGAGGTTTGTCAGTGTCTTAGATCTTTCTCGGTTGAAATTTCCAAGGAGATCTTTAGCCTGCCGTAGTCCTGGAAGTCTTCTCCATTGTCTGGCTCTCCAGGCTCCTTCTGCCTTCTCAAGTTCTCCTTGGAAATAGGAATTTCCAAGGCCGCAGAATGGCTCTGGTCCGATCAGTGGCGTTGAAGCCCCTTGTCGTGCCAGAGCGTCTGCTTGTTCATTCCCCTCCACTCCGATATGCCCTGGCACCCAGAGGAGGGTAACTTTATTGTTGCTGCCTAGCTCATTCAATTTGCTTAGGCATTCCCATACCATCTTCGAGTTGATGTAAGGAGAGCTCAACGCTTTGATGGCTGCTTGGCTATCGGATAAAATCGCGATGTCCTTCTTCCGGTATTTCCTGTCTAGGTTGAACTGGATGCATCTTCCTATGGCGTGTATTTCCGCTTGAAAAAATGCTGGGGAATTGTCCCATGGATTCGAAGTATTTGGTGCGAGGCCCAAAGACTCCTGCTCCAGTTCCCTCGGGTGTTTTAGACCCGTCCGTATACCAAGTAATGGTATTCCTTCCCAGTGATTCGATGGATTCTGTGCTCCATTCGCGCTTGTTGCTCAGCTCCACTCGGAAGTTCTTCTCAAAACTGAACTTCCTAATGATTTGGTCTGTTGGAAGATCGGCGAGGTGTGCGATCTCAGTGGGGGGTGAGCCCCTTACACTGTGCGTTTTCCCTCTTAGTCCGACCTTGGCTAACCTGAGATGTGCTCCATAGGCAGTTCTCCTCACCACGATGTGTAGAGGTGTGAGATCCAAAATGACCTCTAGTGCTGCTGTTGGAGCTGATCTCATTGCTCCTGTTATGCAAAGACATGCCAGTCTTTGCACCTTCTCTAATATTTTCCTTGTAGTGGCGAGTTCGGTTCTGCCGTGCCACACTACTGCTCCGTAGGTGATCATTGGTCTCACTAGCATGGTGTACATCCATCGCAGTATTGATGGGTTACATCCCCATGTTTTGCCTGCAAGGTTCCTGCACACCATCAGTGATGATTTTGCCTTACTGGCGATCTTTTCTACGTGTCTATTCCAGAGAAGCTTTGAGTCTAGGATGAGCCCTAGATACTTCACTTCTTGCTGCCATTCTAGGTCTTCTCCGTTTAGACGGATGACTCTTAAGTGCTGAACCTTCGTTCTTCTAGTAAAAGGTACCAATGTGGTTTTCGTTGAGTTAATTCTCAACCCCACCGAATGGCACCATCTTCTGGTAGTCTCTAGCTCTCTCTCTCTATGAGGTCGCAGAGGGTGCCTTCAAATTTGCCTTTGGCCATGATGACTATGTCGTCCGCATATCCAAAGCAAGTTACTCCGTTCTCAGTAAGAATCCCGAGTAGTTCGTCTACCACTAGACTCCACATTAAGGGTGACAGTACCCCTCCTTGTGGACAGCCCCTGTTCGTACTGATTTGAAAGCTGCTCTCACCCACTTTCGTTTCAGCTGTTCTTGTGGTCAGCATTTGGCACATCCATCTGAATTTGTGGCTTATTGCTTATAATAATTTTGTATAGATAATAATTATATTAATTCACACTAACGGGCATTTGAATCGGTGAACGTGACAACATGGCGCACGACTTGTGGACGTTGTCTTGTCAGTCCTCAGAATTCAGCACAATGTTGCGAAGTCGCCAACATTTACATGATACTTTTTTTATGAAGAATAAGACATATTTGGACATGATGGTTACTCGAAAAAGTGTAGAATGAACTATAATACCCTGGGTTCCTCCTATTATGTTTTATTCAACGACAGGACTCTAACATCTTCATGATAACTTGATTATAATTGGTGGCTTGACAACCTTGCTTCATGAGTGGAAATGGAAGATCATCTGACCAATAATGATACAGCATAAAAACTGACGTCACCATTTATTCGACATATCGCCAAATGGCGGCCATGAAGGTTCGTTTGGAATTAGCTCTGAAAAGCAACAATTTCGAACAACGCATAGACTCATTATTTACATATAAAAATCGTGAGGAGTGTTGCTAAAATTAATGTAGGTAACGAACGACACAGTGGAGTGATTGAATGCCAACAATTCATTATCAGACTCGGCCGTTACTAGATGGAAATCCATGGCAAATGTGAAAACTTCACAAACGATAAGATTTCCACAAAATTCTTAAACACTCAACATGTTTCGCTAACACATCAGTAGCTTCATCAGGTGATATACTGGTACGATGAACTAAACTAACCTTGGCTTGCTTATATATCCTACTTTCCCAACCTGAAGGATCAGTTACCTGTGGACAGGTTCGATAAACCTCCATTTTCGAAAATTAGGCACAATATCTACATTAAAATACGGTGTACCGGATTCACTTGAAAGGGTTGATATCAAATACATATTATTACTTACTGAGAAAACAAATTCGACTGTGTTGAACAATTGAGGTCAAATTGATCGTTAAGTAAAATGTCAGAATTTTTTAGTTTGAATTATAATGATTCAAAATGATTGAGTTCATTCCTTTATTTTCTACGTGTAGAATTTCGAAATTATCATCAAAACTATGGTTTTCTTCTAATATATGGTTGGCGTATGTTGAATTTGTTTTCGTTTTCACAAAATTCATCTTATGTTCATGAATGCGCTGATTAAACGTACGACCTGTCTGACCGATATATACCTTAGGACAAGGCCCACAGTTGAGTTTGTATACCACTGATTTTTCGAATTTAGAAGATTTGTCTTTATTATTCTTGATAAACCGTCCCAACGTGTTATTTGTTCTATATGCCACTTTAAAGTCCTGTTTATGTAGAAATGAAACTGATTTCTCAGTTGATGATCCAAAATAGGTTAAAGTTCTATAATTTTGATTATTATTCTTGATGGTAGGATAAACTTCTTGAATAGCTTTGTGATTAAGTTTTTTAGAAAGAATACTGTCTATCAAATTGACGTTGTATTCGTTGTTGACTGCAATCTGTTTTATGATATTGAGTTCTTTATTGAAATTTACTTCAGAAAGAGGGACATCCACTAGCCTGTGTATTATACTACTATTCGCTGCAATTTTATGTTGATAAGGGTGTTTTGAATTATTATGAATAGTAATATCAGTGTGGGAAGGTTTATGGAAAATCATGTTCATCAATTTTATTTATTGTCAAATCTAAGAAATTGATTGAATTTTCGGTTTCTATTTCTATTGTGAATTTTATGTTTGGATGAATAGTATTTATATATTGGTAGAAAGTGTCTCATTGTCTATTGGTTCCTTCAAAGCATACTGGATCTTGTCCTAAGGTGAATATCGGTCAGACAGGTCGTACGATTGATCAACGCATTCATGAACATAAGATGAATTTTGTGAAACAGAAAACAAATTCAACACACGCCAACCATATATTAGAAGAAAACCATAGTTTTGATGATAATTTCGAAATTCTACACGTAGAAAATGAAGGAATAAAACTCAATCATTTTGAATCATTAGAGCTCAACAAACTCAAAAATTCTGACATTTTACTTAACGATTAATTAGACCTCAATACTTCACCACTGTTGAATTCGTTTTCTTAGTAAGTAATATGTATTTGATATCGACCCATTCAAGTTAATCCGGTACACCATATTTTAATATAGATAATGTGCCTAATTTCCGAAAATGGAGGTTTATGGAACCTGTCCACAGGTAACTAATCCTTCAGGTTGGGAAAGTAGGATATGGTAAGCAAGCCAATGTTAGTTTAGTTTCTTCGTACCAGTATATCACCTGAAGAAGCTACTTTGTTAGGGAAACATGTCATGTGTTTGAGAATTCACTATCTAAAGAACCTACTATTATTTACTCCTTTTCAAGGCGTAAAGTGTGGTATTCTACAAGAGTAAAACTGCACTTTTTAAATATATTTGGTGTACCTAAAGTGTACAATTTTTCAATATCACTTTTTTTCATGGTTGTTGCTAGGCAATGAAATGAATGCTTGCGTGAAAGGGGCCCATACACTGCGTTTTTGGTAGGCTGTTTGTTTGAACAAATATGAAACAGTCCACCAACAATGCAGTCTATGGGCTCCTCTACGGGATTCAGCAAGGCAGCACGCGAACAAATCAAGACAGCTGACTTCGTATTTTGCATGAAGTGCCAGTGAAATAGAGATGGGAGCGGGAAGAAGGCGCCACGATATCCTCGTGAATTAGATAATAATTATCTCGCATCTCATGTATGATATGATCAGCATCTCTGAACGCGAGCGAGATGAGCGATTTTGTCCAATTAGCAGAAGGTGGCTCTGGCTATTTTGTCCTTAGAAACCAGGTGTTATCAATAAAGAGACATGAAATTAGTAAATGTATTTGATAATAATTGCGAAATATCATTTGATCATTTACATCCTGAGTTGAATGAGGTTTTCCTCTTTTTTGACAGTTGTAGGAGAAATATTGTATGTAACACAAGCGTGAAGTGTTTTTTTACTAATAGGACTAGGCAGAAGCCTCTGGATATAGTCTTGGTCCCTAGGTAATAATGATATTCTTTACTACCTTGGTGTATAAATAACTATTTTCTAGGGCTATAACACAAAATTGCTCTTGTTTCACTGTGTTCGATACATTAATGAGGTACTTTGTTTGTCATCAATTTTATTTCCGTATCTGATATCACAATATCTCATCGCTCAAGAAATGTCAAATTTCGAACAACGACTGTCTAATAGGTGTACTTGTTGCAGTGGTAGAAAAATTAAAGTGTATAACTAGCACGGAATGCTAATTTCGAATGATTGTAGCATTCGCCTACGGCTCATGCTGCAAACTTTATTCTCGTGGGAAATCATTCCGTACTCGTTAAACAATCTACTATCAACAAGTAAATGGTTACAACCATAACAATAACATAACATCATTTCATTAATGATATTATTTTATTTATCAATATGGCGGTCTTTTAATAACGTTTGTAAAAAGAACATTGTATGATGTTCACGATGAAAATTCCATTTAATTTCTAGTGAAGACAGTTTGGGGCCCGAGCGCAGCTATAAACATCTAATTTTATAAGGTTATGGTGTATACTCACCCCAGTCTTGAAGTTGACCAAGGCGTTGGGAATCCCCGTGGGAGTGTTGAAGGCCGGCAGCAACTTGTCGGCGATCTGCTGAGCCTTCTCTTTGAAAACGGTGTCGCCGGTCAAGGCGAAGCACGCGAGCAGTCCCCCGACGAATCTGATGTTGACTTCGAACACCGAAACGTCGGCCACCTATCGCAAACACACGAACGTTTGTGAAACTTACTACTGATAGTCCACGGAACACTCGTTTTCAAAACTGATTTCTATTTGTCTATGGCTCTGTATGTGGCCTCAAATGTCTACAAATTGTACAATACAATCTACATGGTAAATGCACAAGGAGTTCTACAGGGATCCATACTTGGACTCCTGTTGTTTATCCTTCACATGAATGATTTACATTGTGTTGTACCAGAGTCTTTTACCACTCTTTATGCAGATGAATCAACATTGTTTAGAGAAAGAGACCCAAACATTTTAAAAGCCAAACTTATGAATGCTGTAATGACATTTCCTACCTGGTCTAGTGATCAATCATTGTTATTTGATTCAACTAGAATGAATTTTATATCATTTCATCCTAGCCAAAAAACTTTGATATATTGGTAAACAACTGGAATATAAGAAAAGAGAAATTGTGAAATTTCTCGGTGTAATATTTGATTGAGATTTATCCTTTAAAACTCACTGTTTAATTATATCCAAGATGTTAAACTCCAAATGTTTTCAAATCAGGAATTTGATAAAAGCACTCAATATAAATCACATTGGTTCACTTTACTTTAGTGAAATACAGTCTAGGATTAGTTATGGAAATTGTATTTGGATAATGTTTTTCATAAAAAATAATTTCAAGATGTATTTTGAACATCTCATTTGTAGATTCCTGTCGACCTCTTTTTAATAACTTGGCATTTATACAGGGTATGTCACGACGAGCTTGCACTATCTCTATATCGAAAATCAGTCGGGAGAAATCCATTAAAATATGCATGCTTGTATTTCAGAATACGCTCTCTTCATTTAAAATATTTTCAGTAATGCAGTGTAAGCTCGTCCTGACATACCCTGTATATCTTCAGAAAGACAATGCATCATTGTTCCATTTAAAAAACATAACTTTGGGTTATATCTGAATGATTACAGCTCATTCTGAAAATTTGACTACGCCACTGGATTCTACGTAAAAAAATGTACAAGCGACAGTTTTTACTTTTTCGATAAGTTGAAAGATAATTGAGATACAGTGAGGGTCCCAAAATGCAACTTTTTCAATACCGCCCTGTATCTCAAAAATAAGCAATTCATGACAATTTTCCAGTTTCACAAAAAAGTAGCCAACGAAAATAGAACAAGTGAAAATGGAGTAAATTGATGTGTAAACAATTCACGATTTCTCATAATTATGGAGTATTGAAAAGTGTTATTGTTTTCATTCTTGATTGTGCATACTTATATCAATTTTTATGGTTATGTCAGGTGTTCTTGACGAACTCCAAATTGAATTGGATAGCTTTTCAAATCAATAAAATTGATAATCATTTGAAATCATTGATATTCTTTATAAAGGTAGTTGTTGATATTCGTAAAATACACATACTGCAAATTCATTTGTAAATATAAAATATTTACTTGACAACAGTGAAAGATTGACAATTTTGGCAGAAGAAATGAATAATAAGCTACTATAGTTGAATGTGAATTAAGAATCAAGATCTCAATGCTAACCTGGTGGTTAATAATAAAAGACCAGTGATTATAGTTAATGATTGCATGAACTTCCTGAAATATATGAGGAAACATAGTAAATAAGTATAGCATAATATCTGGATTCTGATAATCAATTTGATTTCTCTTCTGGAATTGAATATCAACAGTTTTGAAGACAGTCAAAGAGCAACATTCAGCTTCACATCCAATAATCTGATTCATCTTGAATCCATAGAGGAATACCATCACTTGATCAATGATATCTATCACTCATTATTTATCAGATAAAATGTGTTTGATTGAGTACCTTGACCTTGATCATATGTTTCATTATTCCATATCAGTCCATTCAAACCACTCCTTCATGAACAAAGGCATATAAAATATCCAGGATATTTCTGATCATGATTGCACATTATTGTCTGTACTTAGGAACTCTAGTTCCATTTTTATGTATATCTCAATACAATTATTATTAGTCATGATCATAATATATTGTAACAATGATTCATCCAATACATGAAGTAGGTATCAATAATTCTCCTCTGAAAATATAAAAAACAATATTTCCCAAAGAAAACAAAAATCAAAAGTACCCAAATTGATGACTTATTTTCACAAAAAATAGTGGTCGTAGAAGTAAACGTTTTGGATTTCATTAATCCATAACCTATCAGCTACCGATTATGAAAAGTAGGCATTCATTTCTTATGGAAAATCGTTTCGCGGTTTTCTTGTTGTCCACACGGACCCCTGGCCGCTTAGTGAGTAGAAAGAGAGACTGGTAGAAATAAGGTCCATTCTACAATACAAGAGTTACACTCGAGCCGTTATATCCTTTATTTATACCAATCAACCAATGTTTCCTTATCAATTTTACCCACCATATCCTTCGCTATCTTATCCACGTCCAACTCGTCGGCCACCCAATCCCTCGCCTGCCGAAACTCCTCATCCAAGCCCATCACGTACAGCGTGTCAAGCCCGTCCAAGATGGTGGCGCCCAACGGCAGAGCGCCGAAAATGCTGGCGCCGTGGCCCCGTTTGCTGATCGGCTTCAGCTCGTTCTTGCCCCACGCGTATCGCACGTAGTTCGACCAGGCGTGTTTCATCATCTGTAAAAGGGAAACGGTTAGTATGTTTTTTGTGTGGCGGTCGAGTGTGCCTTGACTTCATCATGAAACAGCTCTGCGAGGAAATGGCGCTCTATAAAAGGCGCTGCGACAAAATGATGCTCGATAACACAGAGCAACAACAAAATAACGCTCTTCATAACATCCCTGCGACAATTGTTTCACAACCGTTTGCAACGTGAAACGATTGGTATATGTTTTTATTTACAACCACACATGTAGTGTTGTCATTACTAACTTCATTGAAGGTTGGGAAGTGTCACATTTCACGCCTCTACTTCCCGCCCTCACTCATGTAATAATTCAAGTATGTTCAGAACAAAACATAGATTTATTAATTTTGATGGAAATATGATGGTTGTAAATAAAATAGTATACAAACATCGGTAGGAAGTTTCATTCCTGTCTCGAAATTATAGCTAACTTACTGGTACTGGTACTGATGGGGGACGTTTGTTTTCAATGACTGATGTGGTTCGCTTAAGAGAGCTGGCTAACATCCTTTTTCAGACACAGCTCTCTTTCAGAATTTTCCGGCTGTGTTTCGTAGGCTAGTAATGTACTCACTACCATATGCTGCAGTGGCAGGCCTGCTTAGCTATTCTCGTTAACCCCCGTTGGACACCGAGGTCCACTAAGCAGCTGGCCCGCTCTCGCGCTCAGTTAGTAGTTTTTCCACACCCACCTACATACACCGTCCTACTTCTTTTCTGATGCCCACAACCACATTATCATCTCTTTCTGCGTGTTCTGTGTAGGCTTTGTTACTAACTCCATGCGCCACTTTAGGAGCAGCACTGTTAATTGGAACGCAACAGCAAATCGTGCAGGACTATCCCCAGCCGATGCTCCGAAACTTTACAATATTCGTGAATATGCGTCTCGGTTAACTAACTAATCTCACGACAGGAATGAATCACTTCCCACCTCGGTGTGTAATATACTATTTGGTATGCCTTGTTTTAGCTCTGTTATAAAACAGCGCTGCCATAAAATGGAGGTCAACAAAACAGAGCTTCGACGGAATGCCGCTCATTGAAACAGTACTGCCACAACATGCCACTCATTGAAACATTACTACGTCGAAATGGCGCTCAATGAAACAGCGCCTGCCAATATTTATTTTCAAAATAAAGCAATTTTTAATTTTCGGGGCGGCAAACTGTGAAGTACATTCTGAATCTAGTCTGAATTTAGCTGATGATGAAGAATATAAGCAGCGAATAGCTAACGAATAAAAAAAATTGAAGAAGAAGACAACTTCGTTGTTGATTATATCATGAAAAATAAAGATGATCACCTAACTTAACAAAATAACTATAAACTGTAGACATAGGCTAACGAATAACTGGAGATAAAAAATCAACACAAGTAAAACTCATCAACAAAAACATACATGACCACAAAATCAGATCAGCTCTCAGTGTGCCTGTCTGTATTTTGTTTGGTGTGGACAGACTAAGTGCTGTTGCGTGATATAATCGACAAGTTTCCTTTCCTTATAAAGGAACGAATTCATTTTAAAAAATGGCTGACCAGTTATGATTACCATTTTGTAATATAACGAGATTGAAAAATTTCGATACTATTGTGAAATATTTAATTTATCTTTATTAGTAATAAACTTCATCCAGCAAATAAGAGATTTATGAGAATTATAATACTGGACGACGTAGGATTGAAAAATATTCATTTTATTGCTGTTGTGATGAAGTTATAATGTATTTAAAGCACTATTTTCAGAAATCTAGACCATATTGTTATTGCCAGCAACGTCGTATTGACATAGGGAATCGTTATATCGAAGACTGGAACCTTTGGCACGATAATACACTACACTGTTTTACCACTAACCAAACCGATTTTGTAACGCCTCGACACGTGTTTCGCTAACTATGTTAGCATCTTCAGGAGAAAAAAAGAAAAGAAGAAGAAAACTAAATATCCTATTCTAGTGTGCTGCTTATATACTAGGTATATGTTCACCCAACTGTGAAAAATACTAACCGTCAAGTTAATGTTTGTCATGGTTGAGTTCACATGTTAATCTAAATTTTTATTTTACTAAACTATATAGAGGGCTATATGGAATAGGTCCATTGTCCTTATTCATTACTCTATTACTATTCTTAAATATCTCTAAGCTTTCATATGCGTCTAGTTTTCTAATGTTATTAACCCATTAGCGCCCAGCGATCTATTCAAAGATCGGCGCACATTACAATTTTTGGCATCACGCACACATACTAGAGCTTCAATATTCGTTCACCCCACCACAGTTGGAGACGCTGTAGTATCGTTAAAATATTCAGTTTGGAATTTGATGATAGTGTGTAGACGCTATACTATTTTCAAAGAGAGTGATATTGCGAACCTTTGCTTTTCTACGATCATTAGCTTCCGGTACAATCCTAAAACCAGGTAAGTTCTGCATATTTGTCAAAAAGGTATCTCAATATATGATAATAACTATAAAGACACATATTTTGCAGTTTATTAGAGAAACACAACTTCTATAGGTTTGTAAACATAGGCCATCTCTAAATAGATCGCTGGGCGTCTGTACCTACAACATTACTCATTCTAATAAGTCGTTTTCTTGATTTCCGGAAATGAAAGATGAACCGTCAAGTATTTAGAAGTTTGGGAGAAGCCTATGAATATCTTGATTCCCAGCAAATAGAGTTCGATATGCTTCTTTTACCTCCAGATGTAGACGAAAAGACGGACGAAGAAGAAGTCGACGATAATGACCTCAATTTCCCAATCGTGAGAGATGTGGCAGGTTCAATCGAAATTGAACTACCAGACAATGAAGATGATAATGTCGATTATTCCGAAGATGAGGACAATTTACCCCTCTCAATGTTGCAAGATGTTGCAGGTCCACTCGGAATTGAACTACCAGACAATGAGAATGACAATGTCGATGCATTCGACGATGAGGACGATTCAACTCTCTCTCTCTCAACAATCGGAAGAGTAAACCAACCAAACAAGTGAATCTGGAAGCAGATTGGAAAATAGTGAACCCCAATTATGATACGATGGCAACTGGAACCGTACTAGATATGAAATCGGATGAACTGATAATATCTCTGAAAGACTTTACCCCCACAATTATATTCGAAGAATTTTTCGATCGGTGTGTATTGGGTATGATAGTTCGCGAATCAAACCGATATGCAACTGATCAAAGAAATAAGCACAATTTTTCTTTTGATATAGATGATATAAGGATTTTTATCGGATTTTCAATATTTTCGGGATATCATACTTTGCCAAGTGAGCGAGATTATTGGTCAGATGATGATGATTTTGGAGTACAAATTGTGAAGAACGCGATGAGTCGAAATGCTAGAAAGGATATTTTTTGGAAAAGAGAACAAATCAACGGCGGTGCCAATACCCAGGGTGTACTAGTAGGCCTCTAACTTTCTGTAAAAAATGCAATGTTACGTTATGTACGACATGTTTTAGAAATTTCCATGTCAAACCTTAATTGGTATAAACAGATTTTTTTATGTTTACATTGGAGATAAGTAGTTTGATCTCATTTGTTCTGCATATTTTTGAATAAATGTTCACAAACCTATGAACAGTCCATATATGCCCAGCGATCTATTCATAGATCGGCATTTTTCTCAAAAACTACTTGTCCCAAATTTTTTTTTCGGTTGCTGTTCTCTTCCTGATACACAATTTGTCGAAATATGTGAAATTCAATATTAATTATTGAAAAAAATTAATTTGGGCGCTATGTGTGTTATGATTGTGATTGAACATATGTTCGGCTACACAAGATTTATCTAACCTGCCATATTTCTATTTTCTAGTACACAGATTGATTTCATTTCCTCTCAGCAAAGAAAGATTCGATGCTGAAAGAAATGTTGTTTATAAAGTGGCTGGCGTCAATGGGTATGATATCAAAATAGTAGATAAATTAATACGTAGACATAAATTTAAGTTAACACTTCGATATTCTACGACTTTTCAAGCGGATAAAAAGAACTCTAGAAGAATCCCAATCCCGTACAATCCCAAGTATACGAAGGGACTTGATAAGGTTTTCAAAGACTTAGGTTTTGAAAGCGTTTATCAGTCTGGGTCAAAATTAGGCAATTTATTAGGCAATCCGAAAGATAAAGTGGACACACTTGAAAAGTCGGGAATATACGAAATAAGTTGTAATGATTGTGATGAAACATATATAGGCCAAACCAGGCGACCCATAAAGAACACATAGCCCATTTGAAATATGGCAGGTTAGATAAATCTTGTGTAGCCGAACATATGTTCAATCACAATCATAACACACATATTACTAACCTCAAATTAGTTAAGCAAGTTAATAACATTAGAAAACTAGACGCATATGAAAGCTTAGAGATATTTAAGAATAGTAATAGAGTAATGAATAAGGATAATGGACCTATTTCATATAGCCTATATAGTTTAGTAAAATAATAATTTAGATTAACATGTGAACTCAACCATGACAAACATTAACTTGACGGTTAGTATTTTTCACAGTTGGGTGAACATATACCTAGTATATAAGCAGCACACTAGAATAGGATATTTAGTTTTAATCTTCTTCTTCTTTTCTTTTTTTCTCCTGAAGATGCTAACATAGTTAGCGAAACACGTGTCGAGGCGTTAAAAAATCGGTTTGGTTAGTGGTAAAACAGTGTAGTGTATAGGGAATCGTATTTTAACTGAATGTGGATTTTCATAAAGTACGTCATGGGAATGTTAAAGGAGCCATGTTCATTTTTATTTTATTTTTTTCAAAGTGAAATTTGATCTCACGCAAAAAAGAAAAAAATACGTATGTACATACAGTGTGACCCACTTCTAATGGAAACACCCCTGTATCTTATGTAATCGTTGGGTAAGGATCCAGAAATTTGCTGGAGCGAGATATACCTAAAATGCACTCTATGACCAAGTGGTATACACTGCTCGCCAACAGCCATGGAACCACCCCAATTTCTGGAAAATGATATTAGGAGTCAAAATAGGTTGAAAATCACTTCGGATTCGGAATCAGGACGCCCAATTCTCTAACTATTCATAGTTTTCCTAGAAAATGTTCAGTTCAGAAAAATTAAATTTTGTCTCACTTCTCATGGAAGCACCCCCGTATCGCAGAACTGAAAAATTTTCAGGAAAAATATGAATAGTTAGTGAATTGGGCGTCCTGATTCCGAATCTGAAGTGATTTTCGACCCATTTTGACTCCTAATATCATTTTCCAGAAATTGGGGTGGTTTGCTGGGTGCTCCAGCAAATTTCAGGATCCTCACCCAACGATAACGTAATACAGGGGTGTTTCCATCAGAAGTGGGTCACACTGTATGTATATATATGAATATTAAATGTTTACAAACTTCCCAGTGAGATAAAAACCTCAACGTTGGAAGCTTCCATTTTATCAGTTGTGTAATACCACTAACTAAACAAAACACAGTCATGGTATGACCACAGTTATAAATTTGTTAAACCGACCGTATAGACAGCGAGCACGAGCCGTCCTCTGCTGTAACGTCACATAACCTACGAGTAGGCTTGAGTAGGAGCGGGCGCCGTGAAAACATAGGAAACTCAAATTGTATCTCTCTAGACACCGTATTTGAGATCTGACGCTGAAGAACATTATTATAAACTAGCAGACCTCGGAACCGTTGTTTTGCAATATACATCATTTCTCTAATACATTCTTTGTTCAATATTCATCAAGACACTATTTTATTTTATTTTCTACTGCTTTTTAGCTGCGCTATCTATAAAAGCGTGTTTCTTTAGTTTTTCAAACTACCATTTATTTCTTCTTTTTAGTTAACTTGAATTTCCCAATTTTGACGAAAGAATCATAATATCCGACTCCGAAAACTCCAGTTGATAATTTTTAATAGGATCGGAACATAATCGTCCACAATATTGGATCAACCATCTTGAATTCCCTAATTTTAACGAAGGAATCATAATCCTCGACCCCAAGAACCACCAGATACCAAATTTGAATAAAATCGGATCCTAATTACAAAATCCGCCATTTTGGATCCGCCATCTTGAATTTATCAATTTTGAAAAGAATCGGATTGGTTACCTTCTACAATGATACAATGTGATAGACGATGTACATTGTTTCTTCTGTATAAAGGTCGAATTTTTCATTTATTGTAATTGTTTCCATTGTAATTATAAAATAATTGATTATTTTTTCTCACCCTGTATAACTTCAATTTGCTTACATCAGTATATGGTTGGATAGACAATGAATATCGGAATATACCTTCCGAAAAAAAAATGAAAAGGGGATGTTTCTATTTAAAAAAATAATCGATGACGTCACCACAACTACCCAGATCACGTTACAAACTCCGTATGTATATCAAGAGGTGTCAATTTCAAATTCATATGCGTTAGAGATAATGAATTCATTCCATACATTTCCACCATACTGTATATACAAACAAACAAACAATCAAATATTTCCTCTATATAATATTAGTATAGATAAGAGTTCCTAAATGTATTGATGTTTTGACGTTTTTGGAATATTAGAGTACGGACACTAGACAAGCAGTGACAATCAAACATAACCACAAACGATTTTGAAGCAAATCATATGTTTAGCCAGACATGGACAAGAATGTGTTTTTCGCTTAGATAAAGGATCCTCGCATCTTCCTTCCTCCACAAGTCCTGGGAAGAGTACATCCATATATCTTTCTCTGTCTTTGATTTTTGTATGAGAGTGCACAGCGTCTCCTAGAGTGGGAAAAAGTTTACGATAAATTGATTAGAAAATTATTTCTTCTCGAAATATTGAATGATAAGGCCTGGGATAAGGCTGAGGGACCTCAATGGAGGTGGATATCAAGTTGGTATGTACATATATGTATACGAAGGAAATACATATACTATTCCTATGAAATAAGTTTTTTGATATGTATATGAAAACCTCGCAAATTTTGTGGCCTGAACCTATATTCCATGCCGGCCGCATTATATTATGTTTCAATTTTTGTAGAATTACGTTATCCGATGGGAATTCGAATAGAGGGAATTAATTCCTCATGTTCTCTCAGTTGAAAACTGCACAAACTTGCATCTTTCTCCTAATTCTCTCAATTTGCCAAACCTTTGAAATGTATGTCATGAACGTCCGTGTACTGTCAGTCCCCGCTTTTTCCATAAATTTATTTGTGGTTATTTCTGATTGTCAATGCTTGTCATAGTGTCCGTACTCTAATATTCGCGAGATTCACGAAGTGGGCGACATCTAGGTTACATAATACGAACTTCAAACTGGGGGAAAACAAACTGTCGTCTATGGATAGACTACATTGCATTCAGCTTGCTATTAAATTTATTTGTGGTTATTTCTGATTGTCAATGCTTGTCATAGTGTCCGTACTCTAATATTCGCGAGGTTCACGAAGTGGGCGACATCTAGGTTACATAATACGAACTTCAAACTGGGGGAAAACAAACTGTCGTCTACGGATAGACTACATTGCATTCAGCTTGCTGTAGCTGTAGTCAAACTTGTCAATGACATGAAGTTTTGGCACTGTTGGTAATGATGATGGTTGAGTTGGTTAATTTTTTTACATTATTACAGTTTTATTAGTTTAGTGAACAGTGAACGGGTGAAGAATTGGAGATAGTTCAAACAATTCAAACTAATTATGAAGAGCAAATCAATTGACATATAAAAGAACAGCTACACCATGTTTACAATACCCAGATTGTCCTGCTTTGCATGAACAAATACAAATCCATTGTTCTACAGGAGTTCATCTGGACCTCAACTTCAATTTTACTTCATGTGGGGAAGATTTCATCGCCGAAGTTTGTAGACAAAGTGTATAAATGTGCGTTTTGTTGAAGTCTTCTGCCTCACACAAAACCACATGACTAGCACGGAGAACTTCTCCTTCCACTACTGGTCGGCTTTTTCCATCTAAATAGAGCAAAATATCTGCCAAAAGAACATCTACAACAGGCATTATTAGCGTTTTCGATCGAATATTGACAATTAATGTCAAGAAATTTAAAAACTTATCACTCTTATCAGTACACAGTACACAGTCCACAAGCTAATGGCGCTAATGGGATTGAGTCAATTGAGTGAGGATTGAGTTTGTTTTCCCTCAGTTTTGACGTGGCTTTGACATGGAACGATGAAAACCGGGCGCCACCTGGTAACATTGATTCCCGCGAATACAAAAAACATCAGAACAGCAGTTTCAATTACATTTAGGAACTCTAGTATAGATCACACTGACCCACCTCTTTGACTTTGTTCCTACGTTCTCTAGCAACAGGATCCTTGTCCTCTCCTCCTTTGACGACCGGATACCGATCGCTGATGGCCGCCGGCACCGTCAGAATATCATCGAGTATTTTCACGTCTTTGGCATCGTTTCGCTGCTCCTGCTGGCTCACGGCGCTCCTTCTAGTCGACGATGTTCTCGGGTTGACTATGTCGGGTCGCTCCAACACCTTCAGGGCGTTGTCTTGCTCTATTTTGGCCTTGAGTTTTGCCCTGAGAGGGTTGATCCAGTTATTTTTTTTATGTATGATAAATTGACATGCATCATACAGGACGTGGAAAGAAATTCTGAATTGAGAAAACCTAATCACGAATCTGCGATTGAGGTCTATTAAAATAACAAGTTTCCATTGTTCAAGTTTGAACCCCTTGATTGGGTGGAAGTATTGAAAAGGAACATTGTCAGATATATTTATGAACACAAAAAAATGGATATATATATATATACAGTGTGACCCATTTAAGATGGAAGCACCCTTATAAAACTTACATTTTTCAACCGATTGGAATGATGATTTTTTTTTTGTTAGGTAGATATTCAAAAAGTCTATTAGGACACCAAATATCATGAATAAATCTCCATTTCCAGGGCCAACTAATCTGATTTTTCAAGGTCAAAAATCTAAAAAAATTACTAGCGATTTTTTTAGAAAAAATCAGATTAGTTGGCCCTGGAAATGGAGATTTATTCATGATATTTGGTGTCCTAATAGACTTTTTGAATATCTACCTAACAAAAAAAAAATCATTCCAATCGGTTGAAAAATGTAAGTTTTATAAGGGTGCTTCCATCTTAAATGGGTCACACTGTATATATATAAAGGAATACATTCACAGCCCCCTCTTTCAGAATTTTGAAAAAAAATCATAACTTTTTCAAAATACACGTGGATGGGAGTTTTCTTTTCTATGGATGTCTTCCTCTGAGAGTACTTTATAATGTGTATTTCTCACAATATTTTGTCGGGCAAGAATTAACTCCACAGGCCCATTTTTTTAGAATTTTGAAAAAAAATCATAACTTTCTCAAAATACACATGGCTGGAACTCGTGGCTGGTTAAATCAGCCACGACTTCGCCTAATATTCAAGGCGCGCGCCATACCACCAATGGTCGTTCATTATTGATTTATATTCATGGCTGGCCATGAAATTACTAAAACCCCCAAAATATGTCCATGGAGGAAACTATTTTCCATCAATGGATTCCTCTGAGCCCCCTCTTTTAGAATTTCGAAGAAAAAATCATAACTTTTTCAGAATACATGTGAATGGGAGTTTTTTTCTATTAGTGTGTTTCTCTGATGATACTTGATAATGTGCATATCTCACAATATTTTGTCAGGCAAGGCCCCCTTTTTCGGAATTCCGAAAAAATATCATAACTTTATCAAAATAAACGTGGATAGGAGTTTTTTCTATGAATGTATTCCTCTAATGGTACTTGATGTATATATGTCACAATATTTTGTCTGGCAAGAATTAACCCCACAGGCCCCCTTTTTCGAAATTTCGAAAAAAAATAATAACTTTTTCAAAATACACGAGGATGGGAGTTTTTTTCTATGGATGTTGTCCTCTACTGGTACATGATGATGTGTATATCTCACAATAATTTTTCGGGCAAGAATTAAGCCCACCGGCCCCCTTTTTGGAATTTCGAAAAAACATCATAACTTTTTCAAAATACACGTGATTGGGATTTTTTTTCTATGAATGTGTTCCTTTTATGTTACTGGATAAAGTGTATATCTCACAATATTTTGTCGGACAAGGGACATATTTCGGAGGTTTAAGTAATATCATGGCCAGTCATGAATATAAACTAATAATGAACGACCATTGATGGTATGGCGCGCGCCTTGAATATTAGGCGGAGGCGTGGCTGGAACTAGTGGCTGGTTTCACACTGATAAACATAATTACGAAACCCGTCCGCCATATTGAATCCACCATCTTAAATTTTCAAATTTTGACGAAAGAATCATAATCTCCGACCCCGAGAACCCCCAGATAGCAATTTTGAATAGAATCGGATCATAATTACAAAACTCGTCCGCCATATTGGTTCCGTCATCTTGAATTCTCATATTTTGATGAAAGAATCATAATCTCCGACTCCGAAAACTCCCAGATACCAATTTTTAATAGAATCGGATCATAATTATGAATCTCGTCCGCCATATTGGTTCCGTCATCTTGAATTATCATATTTTGACGAAAGAATCATAATCTCCAACCCCGAAAACTCCAAGATACCAATTTTGAATAGAATCGGATCATAATTATGAATCTCGTCCGCCATATAGGTTCCGTCATCTTGAATTTTCAAATTCTGACGAAAGAATCATAATCTCCGACCCCAAACACCTCCAGATACCAATTTTGAATAGAATCGGATCATAATTACAAAACTCGTCCGCCATATTGGTTCCGTCATCTTGAATTTTCATATTTTGACGAAAGAATCATACCAAAGAAGGGAAGATTTATATTTCGTGCAAGATAATTTATCATAATCTCCGACCCCGAAAATTCCCAGATACCAATTTTGAATTGAATCGGATCATAATTATGAATCTCGTCAGCCATATTGGTCTCGCCATCTTCAATTTTCAAATTTTGACGAAAGAATAATTTGAACGAAGATGGCGGAAGTGAGCGGGTCGTTGTTATATGCGGAGACCAAAAATGAGTGTAAACATTGCAAAAAAATAGTTGTGAATTCAGTGAAGTGCTACAGATGCATGGAGATCTTTCATCCAAGCTGCATGGTACAAGCAGCACAAATGAAAAGTGCATTATGTCGGCATGAAATCAAAAGTCCATCGTTTGATAATAAAGTGGATGGCGCAGGGTATGTACAAGCAGAATTAGAAGTAAACCCATATGCAGTGGAAAATAAGCTCTTGCGTAAGCTATTGCAAGAAGTTGAATCTAAATGCGATATCCTCAACGAAAATTGCGGTTTGCTAAGAGACAAAATGGTTTTTCTAACTGACAAACTCAGTAGATATGAAGAAAAAGCAGATAACACAAGCAAAAACGCTAATTCTGATAAATGCAAATTATCAGTAAAAAGTCGTCAAACGAATCCTGTCGAGATTCCTATCATGAATGAATCATCCTCGGATTTACCAACACAAGCTACTTATAGTTCAGTAGCTGATAACAAAAAGATGGCATTTAATTCGAAGAAAACTTTCACGCATGAAGAAGTTAATGCTGCAATCTTGACAGCTGCAAAAAACAGCAAAATGCATGAGGTACAGGAGTTAGGAGCCCATACAAATGAACCGAGAGATGAACAAAAATGGGAGAAAGTTTCGTACAGAAAGAACTTCAAGAATAACAGAAGATACATGATAGGTGGTAATGGAGAGAACTCAAGCATCAGTACTGTACCCAAAATGGTATCACTGCATGTCACACGCCTCAGTCCAGATACAAACGCTGATGATTTGAAGAAGGTTCTTAAAAAACACTTTCCAGAAGTAAAGTGTGAACAACACCAATCCAAATTGCCCGAGCTGTATACATCCATGAAAGTAACTATTAAGCAAGAAAATTTCAGTAAAGCCTGGAAACGTGAAGTATGGCCAAGCGGTGCTCTTGTATCGCGTTTTTTTGTGAAAAAAAGGACCGCACCACAAGCACAGGGGTAGTTGGTGAGTCCAGTAATAAAGAGGAACTCAATGGAAATTCAAGCAGAAAACTAGTCAATGAAAATAATGAAATCACCTGCAGTATTATTCACCATAACCTACAGTCTATTGGCAACTGTCTAGATGGAGTACAAGAAACACTTGATAATCATTCAGATTGTATTGTTTTATGTGTAAGTGAACATTGGAAATCGGAAAACCAACTCAATAACTACAACCTAACAGGTTATCAGTTAACTTCTGCTTACTGCAGAAATGAGAATGCCCATGGTGGAACAGCAATTTTTATAAAGACCGGAACCAATTGGAAGATGCGGAGTGATATTGTGAGAATATCAGAAGTCGCAGTATTCGAATGCGCGAGTTATATTCCATATTCCCAGGGAACCCATGGGAAATAGGCTACATCATCGATTCCGCAACTCAGCACTTCGAGGCGTTCTCACCAGAGGCGAGGCAGATTCCAGGAATTGAATCAGCAACTTTTATTTCACATTTTTATAATTCATTTCTCACGTAGCTCAGTCTTGGCTGAATATTTGTACTGTTCACATCAAATCAACTTGTGTATACCCTTGTATCGAAAAATAAATGTTTTTTTAAAAAACCAAACTCTAGACGAGTTATAAAAGTGGCGCAGTCGGTAGGATTGTTACAAAGAATCCATCGCGGATACCTTTTCTATTTTCTAATAGTTGAGTAACAATCGAAAAAGTTCCTACGTGTCCGTTCGTTCGATCGCCGAAAAGTGGATACCAAAGAACAATATAGTTACTAAGGATACCAAGGATGAAGAAGCAGACGCAACCAGGACAACTTGGCAGCCCAGAAGTTCGATGAAGACGATACTCTTGCTGTAAGTCGTTTTTTGATTCATGCCAGACTCCTCTAGTGATTCTCCTTTCCCAAGTGGTAGTAAAGATCTCATAGAGTTAGAAATAAGTTCACTTGCGAATACGCTCAATAATATAACTTTGGAAACTGTCAATCCAATCATAGAAAATAGTGCTGCAACAATTACTATGTCGATTCCAAATTTTTCAAAGGTTCACGCCGAAACCATACCCGAGTTCAACGGAGACGTGAACGAATTGAATTTTTTTCTCGAAAGTATCGACAGTATTTATACCCACTTCTTTGATGTGGCAAACATAGCTAACTATCAAAATGTGATAATTTTTCGCACCATTATCAGTAAATTGAAAGGGCCGGCTCGTGAGGTCGTTAATATTAGCTGCGTAAAAACTATTCCTGATATCAGAAATGTTTTAATCACGAATTTCAGCGACCACAGAAATGAGACTTGTTTGTCCTTAGATTTAAATAACTTGAGACAAGGTGCCAATGAATCCCCGTACCAATTTCATGATAGAGTTAGGAAAGTTTTAAACACAATTTCGAATTATTTGGCGATTCACGAAACAGTTCAAGATGTACGCAATTTTAAACAAAAAATGTATAACCAGCAGGGTCTCGAAGTATTTCTAGCAGGCTTGAAAAATCCTTATGGTATGATGGTTCGTACCAAAGAACCGAAAACAATGTTAGA